CCTCCTACCTCGACACCAACTACAACGAGTCGGCACCGGCGTAGGTTTCCCGGCGCTTACGCCTGGCGGCAGCCTCGACTGCAAGGCTCGGCTGCACATCGGCCCGCGGATGAACGCCTTGCAAGCGGGGAGACGATGGTGGCGTCGAGTGCGAGCTGGGAGCCGTGCCAAAATGTGCCAAAAACGGAGGCCGTTGGCGACGACCCCGATGCGCCTTTCATCACCGACTGGCGAGTCGAGGTTCATGTCGGCGAGGCGCACATGCCTCGCTACCCAGGCCGCCTCGCAGCAAACTCGGGCGACAGCGTGCAGAGCTCGGCTGGCAAGCACGCCGGATGTGGCGCACGCGGACCGGTGGTCGCCAAGCGGGCCGAGCAAACCACAGCAGCGGCAGTGGCGAGGCGCGAGTGGCAAAGGCAGGGGCACACCGCGGACGAGCAGCACCCGGAACAGGGTGCTAGGGAGGGTGAGATCGTACCGCGTCGGCAAAATGCGTTGATGGCGCCGGCAGCACAAGGCCCAGCTTGCGACAGCAGCAGTGCGCAGCAGTGCGCGAGATGCAAGGGGAAGGTTGGCAAGATGCAACTCGCAGATGCGCTCGTCAGTAGCTCGGGCAGCGACCCGTTGCCGGCCGCGGAGAGGGTCGGCGGGCTCGTCACCTCGTCTGCGAGCAGGGGGCGCCTCGGCTCCTCCACCAACAGCGGACCGGTGCGTCGTAGCCGTTGTCGCAAACGCGGGCTCGGGCCTGTGCCGCGGCAGCAGCGCACGGGAATGGAACATCACTTTGCAGCAGATGAGGAGGCGGTCAGCTGCGGCAGCGGCCCGGCATGGCCCGGCGGCGGATGACGGCCAGTGTGTCGCACAATGCCCAATGCGCGGTGTGGCGGTCAGCGCCGCCAGCTGACCGCAGCCCAAGGCCTCCGAGTCGAAAGGGCAGCCGGGCTGTCGTGAGCTGGTAGCGGGGATCGGCGCGTCCCCGCGCTCAAGCAAGTCGGCGAGGCAGCGCATGGCAGCGCGCGATTGCGTCATCGTGTGCCTCGGCGAAGGAGGCGGTGAGGTGCGGGGGCAGTAGTACTATCAGCAGCTGCAAGGCGACGAAGCGATCATGCCCGAGCGGGGAACCGAGGATTGTGAGCCCAATATTGGCGACGCGGAGGTCTGCTGTTGCCAAAATCAACTTGTGATTGAGCCCCGCCTCAGGCTGGGGCATAGACCCACTCTCAAAAGTAAACCCCGTGACTCCCCGTGAAAGATAGGGAGCAGATTCCCAGCGAAATTACAAAGTGCATGCGGCACAACTCATGCCCTGAACTCGGCCACACCCGGCGCTGCCGGTCTCGTGGAGAGGCTGTGCAGCTCTTGCACCTCCTTGCACGCCATCGGGCCGCTGCTGTCCCGCGGCTGTTGCAGCCGGCGGCCATCACAGCTTGGGTTACGCGCTGGCTGTCGCTGCCCAGCGTGCCTTCGCGGCCTCGGAGGTGGGTCCTGAGCCAGACTTGCACGAGCGCGCGGTGGGGCTTTGCCTAGTCTTCCGGCTGCGCGGCCTCCTCACCGTAGGTCGCAGTTGCACAGGGACCCTCGTGGGGGACATTCGTGCAAACAAAAAGAAGGATCTGCGAACAGAAGTGCGCGCGTGCAAGCGAACGAAGTTGGCGGCTTCAGGTGCCGAGCGGCCCCCAACTTCGATGCCAAACACTACCAAGCGGCACCGTTTGTCGGCGTTTGCGCCTAGCGGCATTCGCAGGCACAATGCCAGGGCGGGCATGCGCGAGCAACCGTCCCGGCGCTCCCCGTCACGCTCGACTGCGCTGACGAGAGTGGCGTCAACTGCGAGTGTCCATTCCAAGGTGCAAGCTCACTGCAGACAATTTCGACGCCGCCGCCGTGCATCGTGCACGGGAACATGAAGGTTCATGTCGGCGAAATGCACGAACCCGTGTTTCAGCTTCGCGGCAAACTCTCGCAAGAGCGCACTTTGACGCGCTCAGGGGGACGGCGCGGTCAGCGAAGGCCAGGGACGTAGCGGGGGCGAACCATGCCCAGCGGCACCTGCTTTTGGGACGTATTGCGCCGATGCCGTCAGAGGACATTAAGCGCAAGTGTGGTTCGAGAAGTTTTTTTCGCTTTCGCACTGCCGCAGCTGCGAGGCTGCCAGGAAAACAACTCACCTGCAATAGAAGTTCAAAAGTAGAAGGCTGAAACGCTCGGCCGCCGCAAAGGTTGTTCCCAGCGACGTTGGCACAGTGGGAGGTTGGGACGGAGAGGAGTGGTGGGGCTGCTCGCGCTCGGCTGCGGGCGAAGAGCTGAATGAACTGCAGTGGCCGCCAGGCTCGATTCCAAGCACAACGAGGCACCTTGCAGAATCGAAGAGTTCGGGGCATGAAAACGGGCCTTCCTCCGAAGCCTCCGGTAATAGCCTCCAATCTTGTTCCCAGCATCCGGCAAGGGCTGTCGGTTCAGGGGGCTTTCCTCCAAGAACTCCACTAGGTTGTCGATGCTGGCCTCGGTCTTAAAATCCTCTGGGTCCAGCTTGTACAGAAGCTGAACCAAGGTGTTATTATGTTGGGACATGGCCTTTCCATTGATATTCGCCGCCGTCAAATGCCCGGTCCTCCTTCTTGGTACTGCTCAGCGTCCACTTCACCTCGGTCACGCAATGTGAGAAGCTCTCGGGCTTCCCGTCCCACCCAAGGACGAAGTTGCGGTCATCGCACCATTCCTGTCCCCTCGAGGACAGGCTGTCCATGGGCTGGCCAAGGTAGAGGCCGTGATCGTCAAGAGTTCCGTTGCACAATTCAACTCAAGACCATTGCACTCAAACCAAAGAACCCGCACGTTTTGGCTCCACAAGTGGGCCCACTCGAGCGATCAAAGGCCGCGGTCACTTGGCACTAAAGGTGAAGGCTGCAGAGTGGCGTAGTGCTTCTGCTGCACACTGGAGAAGCTCGACTCGCCGACTGCCGTCAATGGTTTTTGCTGCAAGCACCTTGCCGCACTTTCTTGCGGCCCACCGGCTCGGAGCTCCTAGCAGTCTTGAGCTGCAGTGCTGTATGGAGTGCAACGCGACCATGTCAGTTGTGCAAGGCTACGGCGGTGCAGATGAGCGGCGAAACCAAACATGCATCACAGCAACCCACGGTGCCATTTGTCGTCGCTACAAACATCTACAAAACTGAATAACTCAGGAGCACGGGCACGTGCGGATGGTGCTTGGGCCCCTTGCACCCCGCATCAATGCCAAGTGGTATGTGTTCGATGTTGTTTGCTGATTGCAAGACCATCGACAACCACAACTTTTGCAGGCTTTGGCTTTTTGCGGGAGGAACACGCTGAGCATGACATGACGTCGATATCAAACTCGTGTAGAATATCGGCTTCTGATTGCCACCAAACCGATCCTGCGACTGCCGTGTGCAGCGCAGCGTGTGCGTTTTTACAAGCAGCATCAGGTTGTACCACACTCCTTCGTGGCAGATTAGTTTGCTGCTTGGCATCGATGCAGCCGCCGAGATAAGTGGTCAGTTTAGGGCGGATGTGGTAGTATGGCTGGTCTGCGTGCCGCCGGCGGTTTTGCGGAGCGAGCCCTGTCGAGCCGCATGGCACGGCAAGCGAATGGCGGAACACCGGAAATCGCAGTACGACCTGACAAACGCTCCGTCGAGACGTGGAGCAATCGGACATAGAGGACGAAGCGCCTTTGATAGCAAGCAGATATAGGCAGATGAATCTCGAAAGGCTCTTGAAGCGCCGGCGACAGACAGAAGATGTAAAGGAGCAATTGCCTGTTGCGGTCCAGGCTTTGCATGCTGACACATACTCCGCGGGACGCATGCACAGGTCGAAGGCTTACCAGTGCAGTACATACACATACATGCGGGCACATCGTTGCGAAACCTTTGCTTCTGTAGGACCTTGTAGCAGATGAGGGGGATCGGGGGTGGGGTTTGCCTCTGAGCGGAGGTGGTGCAGGATCAATGGATCTACCGGTCCTGACATCGTGTTCAGGGAATAGGCTGGCGAGAACTCGGCGGTGGACCCTCTTTCGCAAAGGCAAATTTGCCACTGGCATCCAACACTTCACCACCAGGACTGAAAGGAGAAAGTGTGAAGTTTCACAAGGCTTTCGGCAGGGGGGCGCTCCTCCCAACGAAGAGGGCCTAGTGGGAGGCTGAAAACGTACCTGCGCAAAATCGCCATGGGCACCGACCTTCGACACCGGCCCCAAAATTCTGAGATACATGTTCGTTTTCGGATTTTTTCAGGAAAAGACTCGGATGCGTGTGCGAGCTAAGTCATTCCTATGCGTTTGACACACCAGGGACATCCGGGCACGGACCCTTACTGCCCCCGTACTGATCAGTCCATCCTCATTGCTTGAGTCTGACAAACTTGGCCATCATCTCAACGTCGTTTAAGTTTAAATATCACAACCATTGTCACGAGTTCTGTCACACACACAACTATGGCAGCCCAGAGCCACACACACACACACAAACACATGTCTCACCGACTTCGGTTTCGAATCAGCCACGGCAAGGTTGAGATCCTCGCCCTCCACCTCTGCGGGCCTGCTTTCGACATACCACCAGCTGGCCAAGGCATCAAAACGTTTTTGTTCTGTCATGCACAGAAGACACAACTGCCATATACATACACGGTTTGCCAGCACATTCCAAAATCATCGCTGCACTTTACTACCAGAAATCACTTCTGCATCTCAGCTCGAGTTTAGACCGTCCGCTTCCCCGCACTCCTGCATTGCGCGCATTCCTCGCAACCACAACGCCAGGAAGTGCTGCGATTGTTGATATCAGTGCGCTACAGATTTCCAGCCAGTATACATGTCCAGCTTGCCGCATGCTGCAGGCAGCATCAGCTTGTCCAACCTGACTGCGTCCACAGATATGACAGAATTCTACCGATCCGAGTTTTACGATGCACAGGTTCTGCTCCAGCATTGTCATAAGATCTCTAGCTGCTGAGCCTCATTCAAAGCCTCTTCAACCGGAGATGTGACGAAGCGACCGAACATCCGATCGACCAGTCGCGACAGGTAGTGAAAATGGCGGGCAGCACTCAGCATATTGCTGGATGTGCTGGAAAATAGTTCGCAAGCATTGAAGTCGGAAGACTGTCACCTTAAGCCTCTCCAGCTCCGTCCTCGCCAGAGGTAGCAAAAGGACACGTCGAAGTGACTTTGCATGACGTTGTCCCCTGTCCTCCTTCTTGCCGGACTGTGAGAGCCTTTCGACGAGCAGCATTGAGTATCAGGAACTGCACATGCCCACTGAGAGCTGCACCAGGGAAAAAGAGGCAAGACGTTGTCAGCCTACTCTCTCTTGTCACAAGATCAACAAATCGACACGCTTCCGTCGCTTGAGTCTCTCAGTGCCGGACCGTCCAGGGAGTTAGGGCGATAGCGGCCGCGATCCGCAAAGGCTTCAGCAGGGCGGCCAGGCCAAGAATGCCTGAAGTTCAGCGGGCGGGGGGCGGAGGGGGGGGGGTTGCCACCTATTCTCCTCCTCCGTAAACAAGGCTCCTTCTTCCTCTCTCTCTCGTCGTGACTTGCCTGCAACGGCGCCGGCAGCTTTCCCACCGTCCGAAAGCGAGAAAATCTCCTGCTGTCGCGGGCTGCAGCGTGTCAGGATTGTGCACCACACTCTGTTCCCCAGAATCCTCGACGCGAGGCCATTCGCCCGTACTGTCATGATAGGCATTGAGGAGTATAGGCAGCGTGATGGACCTCTCGATGAAGCTTGCTCAGGAAGCCAGAATTGTCCCGGAACTGCGTGGAGTAAGTCTCAGACCAGTAACATACGGCCACAATAGCCACTGAAAGTCCAAATGCTGGACCAACCTCCTGCGAGGATGAGCAGGTTGCACACAGTCTTGCAACAGTGGAATTGCTCACGTCGCCTGTGATAATGCAAACCGCTCTTCGTTTGACATGGCCTGCACATCACATCTCAGAATCTCTCACACACACGAGCGCAGGACAGGACATTGCTCCACATAGCCTCGATCTTCTCCCAGCTCAGCCGATCCGAAAGCTTGATGGGAGTGCCTGCTTCGAGTTTTGGAAGCTTTGCAAGTGCTCCGTGATCGGTGACACCACACGGAATGCCTTGATCGTCGGACTTCACATCCTGTGCCTTTTCCTGCAGGAGCGCTCGTGTAACTTTCAATGCCCGGTCTCTCGAGAATCTGCTGCAGGAGCACCAGCTTAGTTCCTGTGTTGCTGGAAATGGCGGGGAGATGAGGGAGTACGTGTGTTATGTCATGTATAGCCAACGACCACAGATCTGCCAGAGCACGAAGACGAATGAACTGACTATCCGAGCGAGGGGCAAGAATTAGCACTAGCAGCTTGGCAAGACCAACTTGCCCGAGCCTTCTTTTCTGGCTCCTTCTCTCCTGGGCAGACCAAGTCTCGTCCTATCTATGCACAGCCGCGATGCCCACGCCGCTGCTACATCCAGGACATGCTAAACAGCACAAGCCCTGCCCAAAAACAAAAGAGGGGTCGGATCGACATAAACATAAATACAGTTAGATATAATAGATCTAGACCTATATCTAGATATAGATACAGGCATAGGTATCGGTATAGGTAGATATAGATATAGACATAGATATAGAAAAAAGTATAAATACAGATATAGATACAGCTACAGATGCAGATACAGATATAGATAGACATGATTGTAAACTATTGTTGATGTGTATATACATATATATATACACACGTATGTATTATAAGCAAATGTATGTATGTATGTATGTATGTATGTGTACATGTCGATGTAGATGTAAATGTAAATCCGTTCTTGATGCAGTGTCCCTTTTTCATTTCATCGACGCATCCGTCGATAGTGCATTGGCATCTTCGGCACACGAAATCCGCCACAGCTATCTCCAGCTATGCTGGTGTCAGCTACACGGGTGGACCCGAGCTAAAAACCCCTCCGCGGTGAGCTACGAGGAACCCCCACTCACCGACGACTAGCTACGCGCGGACCCTGCAGACCAGGGACTCGAGGGTACACACGTCTCGCTGTCCGAACAAGGACAACCCCACGACGTATACGCCCGGCATCAACAATGCCACTCCGCCACCAGGGAGCTCTCACAAAGAGTACACCGATGAATCTCAAAGGTGCAGAAAGAGATAAGGAGGGCAGAGCCGTGTATTAGGGTGGGAAGGGAGGGATGAAAAAAGGAACTCCTGATCTCAGGTCCAATTTCTGGAGATGATATTTTGGCTTGATAGGAAATGGCAGCGGCATGCAAAGGTCAAGCTCATGCTCAAGTGCAGCAGCAGTACCTACACACAGTTCCTACCAAGCAGACAGCACAGTAATGATTTCAGCTCACCAAGCCTGCCCGAAGCACTAAGCTGGACAACATTCTTGATGCAGTGTCCCTTTTTCATTTCATCGACGCATCCGTCGATAGTGCATTGGCATCTTCGGCACACGAAGTCCGCCACAGCTATCTCCAGCTATGCTGGTGTCAGCTACACGGGTGGACCCGAGCTAAAATCCCCAACGCACTACTCCCAATGCACTATCCGGCGAGGAAGGAGAAAATGATTGATCGCACCGAGAAAGAGAAGCTCCACAGGCAACACGGCACGGAGCTCTCGTGCACCTGGAATCGGTGTTCTTTGTACCAGGTATCCTGGAGGCCCAACCTTGATATAGCATCGCTCCAGTTGGACTGGGACGGTATCCACTCGAACCATAAATTGCAACGCAAATGGAACAAGAGGAGATGAACGCTCTGAGCAATGACGTCCAACTCACGGGATTCGCTCCGTCCCTTGACCAAGGCCATGAGGGCGGCCACATTATCAACGTACCAGAGTCCAGAGGTTTCACAGAACAAGGCTGGAAAGCACAAAAGGCCGTGAAGGATCATCAGAAGTTCGAGTTGCGCAATCTTTGTCTCACCGTCATCCCAAAGGTCAAAGACTTCATCATCTATACGGGCTACCGTACCCACACGGCGACCTGTAGGAGAGACTACCAGGAGTCCACCAGAACCTTGGCGGTACCCTTCCTGGGCGGCGTCACTTGCCGCTACAACACGGTGTCGGCGCAACGGGAAGACCGGGATCGAACGTTGCGGTCTCAAGGCTAGGACCGCCTCAACTGTCTGAAACGCGTCCTCGATCTCGGACGTGACCTGGGACTCCTGCTTGGCATACTGCCGCTCTTTGATTGGATTGAGACCTGCATGCGCTACCCGTCCAAAGGCACCGTAATCCAAGAATCCTAAGCACCCGAAGAGCTTGGCAGCAGTACCAGGTCTAAGGCTGGCGGTAGTCCGTGCGGTGGAGATGATCCCCTGAACTTTGTCAATGAGGCGCTGTCGAACCCAGACCTTGACATCACCGGTGGTCTGGATGGTGGTAAGATCATGAAGAAGGCCAAGAAAGTCTCCTGTGGCTTCTGGCAGCTGACGCTTGGCTTCCGCGAAGTGGTAGCCGAACATGGAAAACGTCTCTTCGACCAGCTGCTGGCTCCGAGCAGCAAGGCATGAAAAGTCTTGGCATGTAGCATCATCGAAGTAACAAGACAGTGGTAGAGCCAGGAGACGCCTTGTAATTGATTGCATAAAGAAAGGCAAGCGGTTGAAAGATGACACCGCCAACGGCAGTCCAAAGAGCATGCCGAAGTATCTCCGGAAACGCGGTTGTTTCCGGTGAGGATCGTAGTACGCTACTATGCACGCCCAGCTATGATCTGGGTGAATGGGTATCTTCCGATACGCGTGAGGAAGGTCTTCTCCAAAGGTGGAGATTCCATCAGGCCAGGACCCGAGGTCAACTCCTCGTCTGGCCAGTGCTTCGGCGATTGCCGGGATGTGGAGGCAAGGCTGGATAGCACTACAGAATTGAAGGCGATTTCCGTCGGAACTGAAATGAGACTGCAGACCGATGAAAGCATCGTCGATGCAACGCTTTTTGCCAGACGACTGAGTTATGATGAAGCGTCGGATGAGGCGAAATGGGCGACGCAGGGATAGCAACTCTTCCCAACCCATGCTAGGGCCACAAAAACCGAGGCGTTCATCTTCCTCACCAGCTGCATGGGCGACTTCGTCGACGGGCCCCGGCTGGATCTGCCTAAGGATAGCGTAGGCATCTGCTTTCCCCTCTTGAAGGCAATCATCGACTGTGAGTGGGATGGTAGGTCGAGACTGCCATATGCCACAGGGGTGAACTTGGCCTACTGCCGGAAAGCCTTGCATAAGCCCTCTGCAGAAAGAGGTGTCGGGCCACGACGTGACCACAATGAGAACTGCGAAAAGAGCCAAGTGCACGGAAGGGTTCACCCGCCTGACCTCAGGGTGCTGCATCTCGCGCAAAAGATCAGAGGTGTGGGCCAACCTATAGAAGACAACTCGCGAAGGAGGGCGAACGCATCTTCTCGATAGGCACGAACCGCTGTGACTCCCTCTGCCATACGAGATGCTGCAAAGTGGATGTCTGGCTCGACCACCGCATTCCAGTCCATCGGGGAGCCTGATACCTGACATTGCAATGCTTTCTGGAAGTGGCTGTCTGGAGTTTGTTGAAAGGGAATCACAGGGGGCAATGCCGTAGCTCTGTTTACCGAGGTATCCTGTGACGCCGCACTGGCTCGCTGCGCCATGATACAGGATGTGCCGTACAGCCCTGGTCCCAAGGGACCGTCGGCACAAAGGTTCTGCTGAGTACGCAAACACTGTCTGCTCAGGGGTGCCATGACGGCCGGCTTGGAAAGGGTTTTCCCGGCATGTAACCGGAGTACGATGCGAGAAGTGACTATGCCCGATGTACACCACATCTTCTGGTAGGAGCAGCTTGGGTTTTTGCACATCCCGAATGCAAACCCTAATCGGATTGCCGGCAGACGTTCCCAACCCCAAAAGTGCAGCTAGGGGGTCAAAAGACTCTTCCCGAATGGCGTCAGGCGGAACTTGCAAGACTCCTCTCCAATCACCGGAGGTATGTGTGGGCGGGAGCCTATGTATGCGAAGCACAGCAAAACCCTGCTTAACAGCCCAGTGAGAAGCAGCAGCCACAATCGTGAAGCAGAGACTCGGAGTGAAGTGATCCTCTTCACAGAACGCGGGCTCTGCACTTCCCTTGCCTCTGGGGTTCCACTCATGCTCAGCATGTATATGTGCACACACATACTCAGGCACTTGAGACAAATGGGGTATGCAATGCCGGATGCACTGGAACTTACGCCTAGCCGACAGGAACACACAAGAGTGAAACCGGAAATCATGCCAACCTCTGGAAACCATAAGGTGCTGCTCACATGGGTCAGTCCAGTGTAGGCTCCTGCCTGAGCACTCCCGAAACGCGCCTCGACCATTCTGCCGAAGGACCTGCTGCGTGGCAAGCAGGAAATCAGATCGGGTGTTGGCAGCATCAACTCTGGAGGAGTCTCTAATGGAGAGATCTTGAATACCTCGAGGCTGGTCGGCAGATCTGAGAGGCTTAGGGCACTGGGGTCCTAGTGTGGGACCGCGAGCTTTGGTAGGGCACTCAAATGAAGCAGCTGCAAGGTGGCACTCCGGCAGCACACTACCGACGGCACGTCGGGCTTCATCTGTAACCAAATCAAAAGCTGAACCCAAACTCAAATCCCCAGGTAACATGACTCTCCACCCCGCGAGAGAAAAGGCACGGCCGAGCAAGCCACGAGGCCCGGACAGCAAATCCAGAAATACTGGTGCCTGGCACGAGGTTTCACTAACATGAACTGTGGATTCCCAAAAGGATGCCCTTTGGGCAATTGTTACCCTCGGCCCTGCACTTGCCCGTCTGAAAGTCGGGGCACAGCTTAGTACCGTCACGCAGCTTGGTGGCGAAGGTAGGGCTCGAGGGAGCAGACGACTCACCCTGCTGTCTCTCACGCTTGGGAGGAGGCACGTGGTGGGCTCGCGAGGCAGCGAGGGCACCATCCAGTGTGAATCCCTGTCCCGCATGACCTTCAGGATAACAGATCCCAAAGTACTGGTACCCATGGAGTAACGCTGGGCCCTACTCCGAGGCAAAATTCTCAGCGCGGTGCCAGTATTGCAGCAGGACACTGAAGGGCACGGAGACAAACTCCACACTGCGCTCCGCAGTCTCGGCACCGGCTGGCAATGGGTCGATGGCAACGGCCCCTGGGATTGCCAGCGCGTGCATGTAGAGCCTGAGCTGCATCAGGTAGGTATGCCATCCACGCGCCATCGCGGCATCGTCCTCGTCCGGCTTCTCGGCGATGTAGAGCGACGCACCGACCTTGCGCTTCCTCCCAGATCCAGCCGTGCGCTGGTTCATCACTGAGCGCAGGTCCCAGACGTTGACCACATCCAGGGTACGCTTGGTGATGCAACGCTGGGCCTTAGTGATCCACTTGTCCGATGGCGTAGCCTCCGGCGGGAACACCACATGATAGCGCTTCCAGAAGGTCTCCCTGATGTTCGCCAGCTGCTGTGTGGGGAGAACATCTTCTTCCTCCAGGCTGACACTAACATGGGTGCCCTTGTCCTCCCTCTGCTGCTCGGCCTGGCACACAGCATTCCAAGCCTGACGGAGGCGGGCCTTCTGCAAAGGCTTGTTGGTCAACGACCCCTCAACTGGGGTGTAAAACGTGGCCACCAGCTCATCATCATCCTTCACGAACCACCTGAACTCGGAGAGCGAAGTGATGCCGACCTTGAGAATCTGATCCCTCAGAGGGTCTTCGATCTTGAACCGGTTGGCGAGCTCCTCGAAAATAGCCTCCTTGGTAGGCACGGCGCAAAAGGGGGGCCCTAAAGAAACCGACGGCACCTGCTACACAAAAAGGGGCTGCAGGAAAAAAAAGAAGAAGATGCGATCAGTGACTGAGTAACCATTTTACTGAGTCTCCGATCCTCGGTCGCAATCCCAGGCTACACCCAGCAGGCAAAACTCCTGAGCAAAGGCGATCCTCGCTGAAACCACACAGGCTCAACTGCCTAGGACTCAGCCAACAACTGGGTCAACACCCGAGTGATGGCATGTGCCTCCACCACTGGAGCCCGGTCCGGATGGAAGCTGAGCAGAAGCTGGTGGTAAAACCTACGCCGGCTCTCAGGAGTGACATGTAGGGCCATAATGTAGAAGGAGAGCAAGAGCACTTTGGTATAAGGGGACTCGTCGGGGTCGTCCATTGTGTTCTGCAGTACCAGGGGCAACACCGGGGCAGGCAGATGGAACGAATACATCTCCGCACCCTGTGACGATGTCCTCCGGCTTCCCCGGTGAGTGCTCCTATTGTCCCCAAAGTAGCGGTAATCACATCCCCGGCTGTGACCCACATTGTCACGGCACCCGCCGCAGCAAAAGAGGTGGCCTCCATATGCTGCGCGAGGGCAACCTGGCGTACGGCAATGGGACATGATGCAATCGGGGGCAGGGCTGAGCTGGAACTAACCTGAGCAAAACTGAGCAAGCAAGCTTCACGAACACTGCAAGCATGACAACATGAGTGGCTGACTCCGAACTGCAAGCATGTTTTGCGAGGGATCAGCAATCAGCGAAACCTGATGTTGTTATCGAGAAGAAGTGCTTGCACTTTGGCAGGCAACATATTGGTACAGGTCCTGCACCACGGACGTCCCCAACCGATCGCCTCGAGGGGGTCGTCGCAGAACCACGGCTCCTCACGAAAGAACGAAGCCTTGGCCTGCTTCCAAGAGCATGCTGGCTGCGCACGGTCCCGTGAGCTACCCTCAGCGAGCGCGTGCACAGCGGCATTGCGCTGCTTTCCGCAGACGAACTGCACCGGCAACGCCACAGTGGGCTGAGGTGCCATGTGTGAGTCGGCTTGCCCACGGAGCCACCTACCCACATCACCGGCCCTCTCAAGGACCTTCTCGGGCTCAACTGCCCGCACGCGGCGGATATGCTCCACCGCTTCATCCCAGGACGATCCCCGGAGATGAGGCAGGATCCCCGCAACACAGGGAGCACGGTGCACCCCAGCCATGCAGTGCACATAGATGGACTCCCCATTCCGCAGGGTATTCAAGATGCATGGCTTGAATTGGCACCAGTCTGTGTACCTGGTAGGGGGTGCGCTACCACCAAATTCCGCTGGAGAGCGCCAGGGTGGATGTAGGCACCTTTGTCGCGAAGGGATTCGCGAAAGCAGCTGATGATAAGCCCCACGTTGTGCTCGGTGAAGAGAGCTCGATAAGACTCCTGGGGAAGGCCGCCCAGAAGGACCACTGGCGTAGGACGGTCCTGCGAAAACCGGGTCGCAATCGTAGGAGGTTCCGGCCGGCCACCGTGGCCTGGGCTGTGCCAACGCTGTCGACCCAGCCTATCGAATAACTCCTCTGCCGACTCCACTGTCGGGCGTGCACGGTCCGAAGAAGAAGAGGCAGCCGCATCACGAGGGGCAGCTCGTGCAGACTCGGGCTGGTCAACTCCAACCCGTGGCCTCTTCTTGCTCTCAGGCTTAGATGCGGCAACCGTGGCATGGCCTTGGCCGGCACCACCGGCTCAGCTGCAACTGGCAACTCAGCTGGTGGAGCTGGGGCTGGAGCTTCAAAGAAGGCTCGGAGGGGAGACGGCATCCTGGAAGGCAAGCCCGGCGACTCCGGGCCTTGAGGCGGAGTGCTGGCCACAACAGCATCACTGGCAGAAGGCTCCAAAGGCAGAGGCGGCCTAGGCTTGCGAGTGGCCCGCTTCTTAGGGGGCAAATAACAGCACGCCGCTTGTTGAGAAGCAGTCCCGCCACCCGGGTCTTGATGCGGATACACTGCTCTCGCGTCATACCGTGCTTGCCAGGAAGGGAGTAGACAAGACCCTCACCTTCCTTGGGCAGGGCTGCAACAGCCTCCTCAGCTGCTGCCCAGGTATGCAGAGCTTGGTCCAGGATGAGCTCCTTCAGCGCAAAGCGCAGCACGTGCTTAAGCTGCTGCGCCTGGGTCTGCTTGGCCTTGTGATAGCGCCAGGGGGTGACGTTACACCCAGAAGAAGATGTATCCAGCCAGTTGCCGAGGGCGCAGACCTGTGTGGTGTCAAAGCCGGCCAAAAAGGAAAGCGTGACCGGCAACTCGCGCCACGACTTCGACGACACCTTGGCTGCATCTCCTTGCTCCAGCAGGGGCGCCATTGCCAATGAAACCATACTGCGAATCGTCGCAGAGGGAATCTCAAAACCATTGCTTGTATTAAAGCCGATGCACTCGATGTCGGTAGGGGCCAGTCGCCGGGACAAGGCCTCCAAAAACTAAGCACCAAAGTCGAGGTCCTCCACGATACTGTACCTAGGGCAGGACCAGAGAAACCCTGCTCGCAGATGGCGTTGCTTGCCCCGAAGGCACTCAAAGTAGAGCGTGTGGGCATCCATACGAAGCAGCCGACTCCGCTGGGCATGGATAAGCCGCACAGCCCCTGTGCACTGGCACCACGTCGCGAAAAACGCCAGGAAGTGCTCATCGTGGTTGCGGTAGGCATTGGCGAGGGCCTCCTCAAGCTTCAGGAGCATAATAGGCTCAGCAACCGGCGCTTGCTTCGCCCCGAGACCCACACCAGGCGCAGCCGCCCTGCGCATACTCATAGCCAGGCCCAAGTCCACTGAGAAGTGCAGGCACTTCACCATGAACATAAGGGCTGGGATCGCCCTGCTCTTAGCCTTGCTCGCTGTAACGAAGGAGGCAGCCGACACTGCAGTAAGGCTATGAATGGCGAGGCCATGCTGGTCACAATAATGTGCCAGCTCCTCCCAGGTGCGACACACCTTTGCCAGGGTGCTAGACTCTGCACCCCGCAACACGGGGAACAGTACCTGATCAACAATGCCCTCGATCGCAGCTCCCGACTGAAGCTGGGTGGCATAGCGGCTGCCTTTGACCAGGATGTCCCGTAGGGTGGGACGGTATTGTGCATTAGCCTCCAACAGAGGTGTAGCACTGGGCTTACCCGGCGTCACTCGCCGTGCCCTTGGCACCGGCGGCACGGGAGGCGGAGCTTTAGGCTGCACGGCCGCCACAACCGACGCAACAGTCGGCTGGGCACTAACCGATTGCATATCGTAGATATCACGCACTCGTGCTGCCAGCCCCGATCTGCATTCCTGAGCCGCTACTTCCCAGGCCGCAGCAACTTCTGGACCCGCCGCCTCCAAAGCTTCGGCTCGGTTAGCGAAAAAGAAAGCAAACTCCTCCCGAGTTTCGATCCCATTCGCCAACATGAACACCTCCATTCTCGCAACACGAGATGAAAAAGGAACTCCTGATCTCAGGTCCAATTTCTGGAGATGATATTTTGGCTTGATAGGAAATGGCAGCGGCATGCAAAGGTCAAGCTCATGCTCAAGTGCAGCAGCAGTACCTACACACAGTTCCTACCAAGCAGACAGCACAATAATGATTTCAGCTCACCAAGCCTGCTCGAAGCACTAAGCTGGACAATAACTGCAATGCAAAACTAAAACAAACGTAAACATAAACGTAAAGGCAAAAATGAAGGTAATGGTCTAAGTCTAAGTCTCTGTCTATGTCTGTCTCTCTATCCCTGTCTCGTCTTGTGATACCAGTTTCAAACAATGCCGCACCTGCCAGCGGTTTCGCATATATAATAGTGGTAAGCACTGATATAAATAGAAAGTACAACAGTATATGTGTGTATTCGGTAGTGTGCAACACACGTGCAGCACGAGGTCCCTGGCCGCAGCGAACCCAGATTCACCAATCGTCCAATACCACGAGCACAGAGGGGCTTCAGTGAACCTTTAGCTGATTTTCTACCGTTGCAAGCGGATTGTCGAGCGAAGTCCGGATTGAAGAGCACTTTCTCGTGAACTCAATGTAACAATACTCAACATCAGCTGGGTGTGCTGAGTAGCCTTACCCTCGGAGTCAAACAAGTAATACAAGCGACGAGCACATGCATGCTTGTCCTTCTGCAGCGACTGGCTTGGAGATCTTCGCAAGCTGATCTGCAAGCTCTTTCGCTTCAAGCTGCAGCGATTGCACCTGCCGTAGCAAAAGATCAACCAAATCAACACGACCCTGAAGAGCAGTGGGAGAAACAGCGAAAGCAGTTGTAGCAGTAGAACAGTTGCCAGGAGTCAGAATAGTCGAAAATGTCACGGCTTGCTTTATCCGGTGTGCCTCTTTAATGCGTTGTTTTTCCTTATTCAAGCCGGTGCCAAAAAAAAAGCAGCCTAGTTAATGCGCCTTTTTTGCGTTAAGGGGATCTTTTGCGGGGTGACTGTCCTGTCTGCTGATGGTCAATTTTAAGGCACGCACGACCTAAACCCCCGCCCAAACCCTAAAACCCTGGCCCTGAAGCCCGAAACACTCCCTAAACCCGAAACCCAACATTATTAAGCCCACCCCTCGTAAACTCTCCCTAAACCCGAAACCCCGCCCCGAGCCCCCTGACCCCCGTACTGACACCATAGTATTCAAGCCAACAGTTTTGGTCGGGTGGGCGGGGCCTACTGTTCAAGCCCTAACTAACATTAGTAGCAGAGCAGTAACAAATTCTAGGCCCAATTTGCCCTTTGTTGAATGTCCGGCGGCGCTTTGCTGGAACTGGCAGCAAAGTCAAGAGCGCGCACACTTCGTGTACGCATGCTTGTGCATGATTCTTTCTTTCCCCTCGCCGTGCTGTAGCAGCAGAATATAAGTATATACAGGTAGAGGTAGAGGTAGAAGTGGCAGTACAGCCGCCAGGCTGAAATTTCAGCAAAGCTGATCAAAGTTGTGTTTTTTGAATTTCGCTGAGAAGCATCGAAAATGTTTCCGGTCGACACCTCGGGCACATCAATCACTCCCTCAAAAGGCCGAAGCGAGCCACAGGCAACTGTTGCACCTCACATGCCTGCTACTCGGGTCTAGCAAGACTTTCACGTGCTCGCAGTCAGCCCTATGCGACACAGGTTGTGGGTAGAGCTTGCAGAAGCATTTGGCACTCTAAACGTCTGTCTTTGTGAGCTTAATGATGGCCAAGTCCAGGTGTCGCAGGCCAACGTGCCTCGATCAAGAGGGCCTCCGCTTCTGGCAATTTGAACCTGAGAAGCGTCAAAGTCTTCGCATTCGTATCCGCCCTACCACTGCCCAGGTTCCTCGCGCTGTAGCTCGCTTCAGTCTAGCTTCAGCTGCTCTCAGCTTCACGTCCACATCTGCTTGCGCCTGACGCTCCAACGGTCCAAGTATGTCCAAGTTCTACGCAACTTTCAACCGTCCATGCTGCAAATGAAGCAAGGTGCTTTGCCTGCAGTAGCTCCGCTGACTCACCGATGTCTTCAGACACGCCCTGGCATAAGTGGCAAGCACCACCAACGTATCACGGCGCAAGATCGAGAACCTCGCGCTCTAGCACGGACACGCTTTGAGCTGATCCTGCAAGCATTGAATCACGTCACTTTTCTGCGATCTCACAAGCCCAGATGAGATCCCCCAACCCGGCATGTTGGCCTTCTGATCGCAACCTTGGCGAGATGCGCTGGTAGCTTCCGGGGGAGCTCCGATGCCTCAGAGAAAAGGCTTTGGGTGACACACAAAGCCAGCGGCCAGCGAATGCGGCGTGACGGCCTCCGAACTGTGGAACAACCACCCCCCACAACCACGCCCACGGCTCGCAAATGCCGCGTTCCAACCGCGCGGCTCCAGCAGGCACTCAGGCACTCCGCTTCCACTCCCGCTCCAAGCGGCCCTCGCTGCAAGGATTTACAACGTTGCAGACGCGTTGCGGAGCGTCGCGCAGTGCCTTTTTCCGCCCGTTGCTTTAGCGGAAGGATCCTCTGACGAAGCATATTCGCCATTCGATGCAAAAACCCGAACAGACTTTTGAAGCACAGCCGATCATTCGCACGCCGTATTCTATTTCATCCCAATGCCACCATGAAATGAGAGAGAGAGAGAGAGAGAGAGAGAGAGAGAGAGACAGGGTGCGCCTCCTTTTGGCAGATTTCTGAGCACGCCACGCAGTGCCAACAAAAGTGCTTTCATCTGGAAGACAGGATAGCCCGGCAAGCACTAACCTCGCAGATTATGGTCTGATTTCATCTCTTAGCAGTCTTAGCAGCTGCACAAACAAAGCAACAGCTGCATCTAGGCAGTCGGCGCGGAAGATACAGCGATGAGGCAACTGCGCCGGCGCCTCCGAACATGTTCCTGCAGTTCGAACATCATGATCGTGCACAAAGAAGCGACACAGGCAGTTGAAGTGCCGCACTACTATGCTTAGTTCCAAGAGTCCGTGCCGATAGCAGCCACCATGGCGTCAGTGCCAGCCCCAGGAGTAACAGGCTGAGTGTGCTTCAGTATGCTGAGCAAGTCTGCTTGCTCCCTCTTGCTGAACTCTACGAGAACTGTTGCCTTGCATGTCCCTGGCTCTGGCATCAGCTGCCTTTGTGTGTAAGTCTAAGTCTCAAGACTGTTCGTGCGCAAAGCTTTCGACGTGCTGATGCTGCAAGACAACAACTTTGCCTGGTCTACAAAGCTTGTCCTTTCTCGAAGGCTCTTCGTGGCATTCCGCGTCCGCACGACAAACGTCAGCAGACAGTGGCCCAGTGGCATCCAGTGGCCCATCAGTAAGGATGTTGGCATTTTGTCCAAGCATCCTGCAGACTGTGCCCATGTCGAAAAATCCTTCACATGCACCCGAATCCATCACATGCGCATATTGCATAGACGCATGTAACATGCATCCACACACATACATACATATATACATCCATGCATGCATACTGCACTATATACTATTTACTACACCCTACATACTACATGCATGCATACATACATACATACATACTGCACAGGCATAGCACGTACTACATACTAAATGCCTACATGCATGTTACATATGTTGCTACATATTATATATATATATATAGAGAGAGAGAGAGATAGTGCGTATAGACTGTGAACAACTTGAAGCTGCGATTATCTTGTGGCACCACCTGCGCTCATCGCATCTGCTTCCAGAGCATCCAGCGCTAAACTGGCGAATAAGTTCGCTTCAGCCACGACTCTTCAGTTCGCACACGCATCAACACTACGAACAAGTTTGGAGAACCGGGATTCTCCTACGCGCTATCGAGAAGTGAAGAGGCTCTGACCGAACAGCTACGTGTGGACTGCGCTCCGCATGGCGGATTTTGCAGCATATCACCATGCAAGCACAAGGCAGCAGGACTCAATGTTGGAGCTGAGGTTCTAGCGTCATTAGCTTGAACAGTGGTGTCCTACTGGCGGTGAGCCGAGCCGTTGAGTCCGCCCGCGTGCTGCTACCGTGCACAAGACAACTGGGATGTAAACCACCCCGTCCGCAAGAAACTTGAGGCCATTGCGGCTCTCACGAGTGGGCGGAGCTTTTCCTGCCAGAAGTGTCATCACATGTGAGACATGTCGTGTTCTTTTTCTCAGGAGATGACCTCACCCACTTGAATAAGCGCGGTGTAGCGTCTTCTGCGCTTGAACCATGTCCTGTTTAGGAAGTTTCGATCAAGTTTAAGTCTGACCCTTTCCACTGTCCATGTTGTGACAGTGTTGCGGCTGATCCTGGTGTAAAACTGCCTTCTCAATCAAGGATGAGACATTCTGATTCTTCCTGACCCGTCACCTGCAAAAGAGGCAAACCGCAGGTGCTAGTACAGTAGAAGTCAAGTGACTGTTGACTATGCCCTATGCCTCGGGAGGCAACTCCTGGCGGACTGCCTGCTTGTCGCAGATGTCCTGGTGCCATGAAATGCATTCTCTGCTCGCTTCACAAAGGAGCTACGCGGTTCAAGAAACGAAGAAGCGACCTGCGCTTTAGCCGCAGGCGCAGACACCTTGCAGAGATGGCCAGTCGTCTGCACGACTTTCTCACTTAGGACTCAGGACCGACACAAGTAGCAGATAGCAGGGATAGCAGGGGACCGGTGGAATCCGTTTATCAAAAACGGGCCTGGGCCAAATTGGTCAGACCGAAGTTTGCTTCGGCTCACTGCTTTTGGCCCAGGCTCGAGCTCGTCCAAAGTCTCTCAAAATTCGAAGCAGGCACGCCATCTGAAAACGCTGCCGTCTGCGAGCTCGCGCTTCTCTTGTCGACGTTGCTTCTGCAGCTCAATCTTCCCCAGCGACTTTATCGGATAAACCTGTCCTTTGCATTGCTGCTTGCTGCAATCTTGACCACTGTTGGTTCCGGTGCGCAGTGCAAGTTCACCTGAAGTTGGTTGTTCAACTCTTCCTGTTAAAAATCGAAACCAACTGCGCGCTCACCAATTGTCACAGAAATAGAATATACACTCACCGAACCCCATTTTCAGCACTACTTCACATCAAACTCAGTCTCGCATGCCAAACCTTCGTTGCAGGATGTGGATTGCCATTGTCTTGTGCCAGACCTGCGAGGCCCGTGGGGCTAGTCCGAAACATTTTTCGCTTGAATTATGTTCCCATCCGCACAGTTGCTTGCATCAGAGCGGGATGCATTGCTGTCCTTTCCACTTGAGCAGGTTTCGGGGCACATGTGACATGCTGAAGCTAAGAAGCACGCGGGGCTGCCGGCTGAAGCCGTGGGTGCCTGAGCATGTGACCCTCTTTGACGTCGCACCCCTGCGAGACTCTTCACTTCGGACCTGAAGCCCTGCTGCGGCGGCGGTGGCTTCGGTACTGCCTTACCATCGCCACAAGCACGGCTGTTTCGGCTTGGCTGTCACGACTTCACAGTTCGGCCGAGCTCGGCACCGCTCCAACTGCCATGATGATACCCATAACCGGAGGGCATGGCGGGGGCGGGGAGCCAAACAAGGCAGACCTGCTGCCATGGTGGTGGGGAACAACCCGCTGCTGTACCTTGCTCGCAATGGATCCCAACTTCCAGCTAGAACGCATCTAAAACACGCAAAAAGCCACTGTCACTAATCCTTGGCTCTGGACTCGATGGCATGTCCGGCCTGCATCTGCCGGCGCTCTACATGCCATCTCCAACAGCGTTAGAGGCTGTCCAGGTGCTGTGCCAGCTGTGGCCGTCCTAAATATCTCGAATCCAAAGCTGGCGCTTTCTGGAACGCTCCATCCCGCCCTCACAAGGGCCGGAGGGCTCTGAAGGTCTGTGGCTGGCTGAATTTAGGCGATGGTTTTACCACGCGTGCTGCACGAGGCCTCCCGCACGGAAGCTTGTAAAGCATAGTGACATAGTTCTGATGTTCGCAGACAGCTTTGCGTCGCCATTGCACATGTCATGCGAACACATTTCAGTACACAACCGGACCTCCAGTTCATCAACAACTTCCAAAGTGTTGAGACCCCCGCAGGTGGGGCATCGTTTGGGAGCGCCCCACTTCTGACCTGAATCATGAGCACTGTCTGTGCAATGTTTCGAAGCTGGTATATGCTAACAACACAACCTTTGCGTAGCCGAGACGCGGCAACGATTCGCAGCCGCGGTGGTCGATACTGCGGACCTGCAGCGGGCATGCTGTCCCTTTTCGGGGCTCGCAGTTACAAAAGGCTGACGGCCTGTGCCACGTAGGCTCGACCAGGTCCCGGCTTCAATGCTGCGACCTTGGGACACACGAAGCCAAGTGACAGTCTCGAGTCAGAAGTGTCTTGTCGGATTTGTTGGCACCTGGTTCCTCTCCTACTCCTGCCGGACAAAGTCTTCAGCAATCGAAACACTGCAACAACATGATGCTCGACTGTCTCTTCAATTCAGACGTTTCGTTTCTGGATCCGTTTCGTTTTGCCCTCCTGCCAACATCGTTTCCCCCTGTCCATCCCGACTTGAAAAGTGTGCTCTGAACAGATTTGACGGTGGCCCTAATCGTGTGTATAGCATGTGACCATCAGCACGTGCCTAGAATCTTCGCCTCTTTGATCGCCAGCAGATGCTACAAGTGCAAACTGGCACGCCACTCTTGGAGTCTGTCAATCTTCCACCACTGAAGCCGATTCTGGCAAGCTTCCAAAGCTTCCTGCTTGCTACTGTTTTTTTACTTATTACTAGCGAGGTGAGCGGTTCATGGTGCCGCTTGGCTAAGCTTCTCGCTCTCAGCTCCACCGGCGCTCCCGGAGGAGTGGACGACGCATTTCTCACGAATCTCTCGACTGTGGAAGAGCCAGCCTTCAACGGTGGACAAGGACATGATTCCATCGGCCTCGCCCATCAGCCTACAGCCTCGCCTCGCGCAATTCCACGACATAGGCCATGGCACCAACGGAGGACCACCGCACAGCGATGGAAAAACCGCCCTGGCTACATCGCTCATTTTTGGATTGCATGACAATGTATCCATGCTTCAGTTGATCGGCCTCGTCCAGGGCCCAGATCTCGGGTGCAGCTGGAGGCGGTGGCACACCACCATGGACTGTCAGAGGACAAGTCGTGTGGCTATTCACAAAATTCATCTGCACCACTAACATTCCTCTCAGCGCTCTACTGCCATGCCACATCGGTGCTGGACCTGATGACAAAGTGGGTACTGCGGTGATGTGCAGTTAGCGAGACTGCGATCGGCGCCTGCTGCATGTGCATGGTGTCCTCAGGGTGCTGCAAAGAGTCCATTCGCAAACGGAAGACCATGCATTGACGAGCACCTGGTGCAGGCATCATCGGCCCGTGCGAAGGGGGAGCCTCAACTGTGCTTTCGAGAACTCGCACATAAGGCTTCTTCTGCCAAAAACACAGCAACCCAGACCACGAGGGAGGCCTCCGGCCAAGCAACATCCTGCATGACTTGTCCAGTCATCCATTTGGAGGCTGAGAACATTGTGACATGCACGCCCGTTCAGCACACCAGCGAAAAGGCTATCCGACACCACGACCTGCACTGGATAGCCAGCAGAGCTGCGGCCGATCCGCTGTTCGCCTTCGTTACCGCACAGAGGGTTTCGAGACTTCAGATTGTGGTTCAAGCTACAGTAAGCTTGCTGCGCGGTGCAAATGGCTGCGAGGCATCAGATGCCTGGATGCTTGTCTCCGGCACGTGGCATCGCCCGATATGACAAATACTGCATTGGAGTCAGCCATGCGCTCGCCTCTGAACGCCAGCCACCTGACGAGATGTACGTTTGCCGCGCCTGGCATGCTAGCCCATCCCGGACAGCTGGTGCAACGAATGACCGATTCATTTACAAAGCTTGAAATGGCCTCGTCTGGCGCAGAGATCTCCGGCGCGGAGCGCGGTGGTGGAGGCGGTGGCACACCACCATGGACTGTCAGAGGACAAGTCGTGTGGCTATTCACAAAATTCATCTGCACCACTAACATTCCTCTCAGCGCTCTACTGCCATGCCACATCGGTGCTGGACCTGATGACAAAGTGGGTACTGCGGTGATGTGCAGTTAGCGAGACTGCGATCGGCGCCTGCTGCATGTGCATGGTGTCCTCAGGGTGCTGCAAAGAGTCCATTCGCAAACGGAAGACCATGCATTGACGAGCACCTGGTGCAGGCATCATCGGCCCGTGCGAAGGGGAAGCCTCAACTGTGCTTTCGAGAACTCGCACATAAGGCTTCTTCTGCCAAAAACACAGCAACCCAGACCACGAGGGAGGCCTCCGGCCAAGCAACATCCTGCATGACTTGTCCAGTCATCCATTTGGAGGCTGAGAACACATTGTGACATGCACGCCCGTTCAGCACACCAGCGAAAAGGCTATCCGACACCACGACCTGCACTGGATAGCCAGCAGAGCTGCGGCCGATCCACTGTTCGCCTTCGTTACCGCACAGAGGGTTTCGAGACTTCAGGTTGTGGTTCAAGCTACAGTAAGCTTGCTGCGCGGTGCAAATGGCTGCGAGGCATCAGATGCCTGGATGCTTGTCTCCGGCACGTGGCATCGCCCGATATGACAAATACTGCATTGGAGTCAGCCATGCGCTCGCCTCTGAACGCCAGCCACCTGACGAGATGTACGTTTGCCGCGCCTGGCATGCTAGCCCATCCCGGACAGCTGGTGCAACGAATGACCGATTCATTTACAAAGCTTGAAATGGCCTCGTCTGGCGCAGAGATCTCCGGCGCGGAGCGCGGTGGTGGAGGCGGTGGCACACCACCATGGACTGTCAGAGGACAAGTCGTGTGGCTATTCACAAAATTCATCTGCACCACTAACATTCCTCTCAGCGCTCTACTGCCATGCCACATCGGTGCTGGACCTGATGACAAAGTGGGTACTGCGGTGATGTGCAGTTAGCGAGACTGCGATCGGCGCCTGCTGCATGTGCATGGTGTCCTCAGGGTGCTGCAAAGAGTCCATTCGCAAACGGAAGACCATGCATTGACGAGCACCTGGTGCAGGCATCATCGGCCCGTGCGAAGGGGGAGCCTCAACTGTGCTTTCGAGAACTCGCACATAAGGCTTCTTCTGCCAAAAACACAGCAACCCAGACCACGAGGGAGGCCTCCGGCCAAGCAACATCCTGCATGACTTGTCCAGTCATCCATTTGGAGGCTGAGAACATTGTGACATGCACGCCCGTTCAGCACACCAGCGAAAAGGCTATCCGACACCACGACCTGCACTGGATAGCCAGCAGAGCTGCGGCCGATCCGCTGTTCGCCTTCGTTACCGCACAGAGGGTTTCGAGACTTCAGATTGTGGTTCAAGCTACAGTAAGCTTGCTGCATGGAGCACATGGCTGCGAGGCATCAGATGCCTGGATGCTTCTATCCCGCATGTGGCATTGCCCGATATTGCACGCACTTCATGGGAGTCACGCCACTGGCCTCTGAACGGCAACCACATGACGAGACATATGTCACCCTTGCCTGGCATGCTGGCCAAATCATGCCAAATTGCACAAGCTCGCACTGATTTGCACTTCGATGTTCGCGTCTTGATCGGTGCAGGAAGCGGAAATTCGTGCTCATGGCTTTGAACCTGATCTGTAGTGCCTGAATGCACTCTGACTCTGGCCGCACTGCTCATCAGCGTCGGCCTCGTACGCATAGCCCGGGCGAAGGCCGGCTACCTGCAGGTGATCCGTGCTGTCTGCAACCGAGAGTAACTCGATAGCCGCTGTATGAAGATTATGAAGGGAGACAACACGGCAGTTGCTTTCGGAGCTGGCTGAGGTTCAGGAGGGCGATGGAGCCATGGACACCATGGACTTATCCAGATGTCTGTGTGCGTGAAAACTGGATTTTGGCGTGCGCGCCTTGCAGGATGAACAGCTGGGTGCAAAGTGCCCCTGCTCCGTGCCCAAGTTCCCGGTCACGTCCACTGCCGCCCACTCTGCCTCAAGGAAACGTTCGACTGATGGCATTGCATGGTTGTTACATGAACATGCCTTCGTCCCAGCTGGACGAAGCTCGACCACCTGACAGCATGTAAGGGGCTCTGCAACAATTTTTTCAACGCCCAAACAGTCATGATGTCAGGTCGAGGCATAACCCAGAGCCAGCTGCAAGGGAGCCCAGTTTACGAAGATGGAAGCAGGTGCCTCGAGGGCACAAGGTGCAACTGAGGCTACTGGTATATACACATCGGCAACGTGAAGCGATGATAGACGAACATGACGTGAAATTGAAAACACCGAATGTTGGCTCAGCTTTCACACTCTTCCCACCTCACCCGGGCGGATTGTCGGTGCTGGAAGAGCTGGCAGCCGGGCCTTGTTCAAGAACGACTAGCCTCGACCAACCCAAGATCGCACAAAAAAAACCACGGCTCCGGGCCTCATCAGCAGCATGACCTCGGAAGCTGGAAAAAGGTTCTTGTATTACACAATCAAAGATCCTGAGCGATCGAGTTCATGGCAGTGGTTGGGAGATCGATTCAGCAGCAGGGCAATGCGAGTCTCCTGCAACATTCGTCACCGCAAGACTGAGCCAGTCAATGGACGCAACATTGCACATTGCACTTGAGATGCTGCTTGTCTTGACTCATGGGAGCGAAGATCTACTCGCTCCCGCACAAAACTAGCTCTAGCTTCAAAGGTCTCATGACCTAACTCCCGTCGAAGTTGTTAGCCACAAAGTCCCCAGGCGCACGAGCTTCGGAGCGTCTATGAGTCGTAAGGTGCAAGGCAGGGTGACACGGCTTTGGGCCACCTACACCTACACACACATACACACATACACGCATACACGCATACACACATACACACATACACACATACGCACATACACACACACATACACACATACAAGACATACACACATACACACATACACACCTACCTACCTACGTACGTACGTACGCACATACATACATACATACATACATATACGCACATATCTTTATATATATACATACATATATACATATACATATACATATACATATATATATATGCATATACGTATGTATGGTGTGGTGTTGCCCACCCCCCCTTCCCCCCCCCCCCCATGATTTCCCCCCCCCGATTATGCTTGCTCCGGCCTGGCTGTGGTGCGTGCTCACCCGCCCTCTGCTGAGAGCCGCGGCCCCCCTCTGTGCGGCGGCTGTGGGTCCTCATGCCCGGGCCCGTCCCTGTGGTGTGGTCGTGGGTTTGGCCTCGTCTCCTTGTGGTGTGGTGGTGGGTTTTGGGTTTAGCCGCCCCCCCTTCCCCGCCTGTGGTGTAGTGTGGTGTGTGGTGGCGTGTGGTGTGTGGTGTGTGGTGTGTGGTGTGTGGCGTGTGGTGCGTGGCGGGTGGCGGGGGGCGTGTGGCGGGGGGCGTGTGGCGTGTGGCGTGTGGCGCGTGGCGTGTGGCGTGCTGTGGCGTGCTGTGGCGTGCGGTGGGCGTGCGGTGGGCGTGCGGTGGGCGTGCTGTGGGCGTGCTGTGGGCGTGCTGTGGGGTGCTGTGGTGTGCTGTGGTGTGCTGTGGTGTGCTGTCGTGTGTGCTGTGGTGTGCTGTGGTGTGCTGTGGTGTGCTGTGGTGTGCTGTGGTGTGCTGTGGTGCGTAGTGTGGTGTGTGGTGTGTGGTGTGTGGTGTGTGGCGGGTGGCGGGTGGCGAGTGGCGGGTGGCGTGTGGCCTGTGGCGCGTGGCGTGTGGCCTGTGGCGCGTGGCACGTGGCGTGTGGCGTGTGGCGTGTGGCTGTGGCGTGCGGTGGGCGTGCGGTGGGCGTGCTGTGGGCGTGCTGTGGGCGTGCTGTGGGCGTGCTGTGGGGTGCTGTGGTGTGCTGTGGTGTGCTGTGGTGTGTGCTGTGGTGTGTGCTGTGGTGTGTGCTGTGGTGTGTGCTGTGGTGTGTGCTGTGGTGTGTGCTGTGGTGTGTGCTGTGGTGTGTGCTGTGGTGTGTGCTGTGGTGTGTGGTGTGTGGTTTGTGGTGTGTGGTGTGTGGTGTGTGGTGTGTGGTGTGTGGTGTGGTGTGTGTGGTGTGTGGTGTGTGGTGTGTGGTGTGGTGTGTGGTGTGTGGTGTGTGGTGTGTGGTGTGTGGTGTGTGGTGTGTGGTGTGTGGTGTGTGGTGTGTGGTGTGTGGTGTGTGGTGTGTGGTGTGTGGTGTGTGGTGTGTGGTGTGTGGTGTGTGGTGTGTGGTGTGTGGTGTGTGGTGAGTGGTGTGTGGTGTGTGGTGTGTGGTGTGTGTTGTGTGGTGTGTGGTGTGTGGTGTGTGGTGTGTGGTGTGTGGTCCGTGGCGTGGTCCGTGGCGTGGTGTGTGGCGTGGTGTGGTGTGTGGTGTGTGTAGTGTGTGGTGTGTGGTGTGTGGTGTGTGGTGTGTGGTGTGTGGTGTGTGGTGTGTGGTGTGTGGTGTGTGGTGTGTGGTGTGTGGTTTTTGGTGTGTGGTTTTTGGTGTGTGGTGTGTGGTTTTTGGTGTGTGGTGTGTGGTGTGTGATGTGTGGTGCGTGGTGCGTGGTGTGTGGGTGGGGTGGGGTGTGGGGTGTGCGGTTGGGGTGGGGGTGCGGGGTGTGTGGGTGTGGTGGTGTGGGTGGTGTGGTGGTGTGGGTGGTGGGTGGTGGGTGGTGTGGTGGTGTGCGAGTGGGTGGGTGCGGTGTGGCGGTGGTGTGCGGTGGTGCGGTGGTGCGGTGTTGCGGTGTGCAGTGCGGTGGTGTGCGGTGGTGCGGTGGTGCGGTGGTGCGGTGGTGGCGGTGGTGCGGTGGTGCGGTGGTGCGGTGGTGGTGCGCGGGTGGTCGTGCGGCCGGGTGGGTGGCGGCCGGTGGTGGTGCGGTGGTGGTGCGTGCGGCCGGTGGTGCGGGTGGTGCGGCTGGTGCTGGTGCGGTGCGGCCCGGTGGTGTGCGGTGGTGCGGTGCGGTGCTGTGCGCGGTGGTCGGTGGTGCGGTGGTGCGGTGGTGTGCGGTGGGTGCGGTGGTGTGGTGGTGTGGTGGTGTGGTGGTGGTGGTGGTGGTGGTGGTGTGGTGGGTGTGGTGTGTGTGGTGGTGTGTGTGGTGGTGGTGGTGTGGTGGTGTGGTGGTGTGGTGGTGTGGTGGTGTGGTGGTGTGGTGTGTGTGGTGGTCTGGTGGTCTGGTGGTCTGGTGGTGTGTGTGGTGTGGTGGTCTGGTGGTGTGGTGGTCTGTGGTGGTGGTGTGGTGGTGTGGTGGGTGGTGGTGTGGTGGTGTGTGGGGTGGTGGTGTGGTGGTGTGGTGGTGTGGGGTGGTGGGGTGTGGGTGTGGGTGTGGGGTGTGGGGTGTGGGTGTGGGGTGGGGGGTGTGGGTGTGGGGTGTGGGGTGTGGGGTGTTGGGGTGTGGGGTGTGGGGTGGGGTGTGGGTGTGGGGGTGTGGGGTGTGGGGTGGGGGGTGGGGGTGTGGGGGTGTGGTGGGGTGTGGGCGGGTGTGGGCGGGTGGGGGCGGTGTGGGCGGGTGTGCGGTGTGGTCGGTGTGGGCGGGTGTGGGCGGGTGTGGGCGGGTGTGGGCGGGTGTGGCGGGTGTGGGCGGGTGTGGGCGGGTGTGGGTGGGTGTGGGCTGGGTGGTGTGTGGTGTGGTGTGTGTGGTGTGTGTGGGGTGTGGTGTGTGGTGTGTGGTGTGTGGTGGTGTGGTGGTGGTGGTGTGGGGTGGGGGTGGGGTGGGGGTGTGGGTGTGGGGTGTGGGGTGTTGGGGGGTGTGGGGTGGTGGGGTGTGGGGTGTGGGGTGTGGGGTGTGGGGTGTTGGGGTGTGTTGTGTGGGGTGTGGGGTGTGGGGTGTGGGTGTGGGTGTGGTGGGGTGTGGGGGGTGTGGGGTGTGGGTGTGGGGTGTGGGGTGTGGGGTGTGTGTTTGTGTGGGTGTGGGGTGGGGGGGGTGTGGGGGTGTGGGGTGTGGGGTGTGGGGTGTGTGGGGTGTGGGTGTGGGGTGGGGTGTGGGTGTGTGGTGTGGTGTGGGTGTTGTGTGGGCGGTGTGGGGGGTGTGGCTGGTGTGGGCTGGTGTGGGCTGGTGTGGGTGGGCTGGGGGCTGGGGATGGGGGGGGTGGGCTGGGCCCTTGTGGTGGGTGGGGGTGTGGGGGTGTGCTGGGTGTGTGCTGGGGGTGCTGGGGTGTGTGGGTGTGGGTGTGCTGGGGGTGTGCTGGGGTTTGCTGGGGTGTGTGTGGGTGTGTGTGGGGGTGGTGTGTGGGTGGGTGCTGGGGTGTGTGCTGGGGTGTGTGCTGGGGTGTGTGCTGGGGTGTGCTGGTGGGGGTGTGTGGTGTCTGGGGTGTGCTGGGGTGTGTGCTGGGGGTGGGTGTGCTGGGGTGGCTGGGGTGTGCGGGGTGTGGTGGGGTGTGCTGGGTGTGCTGGGGTGTTGGCGTGGGTGCTGGGGTGTGCTGGGGTGTGCTGGGGTGTTGCTGGGGTGCTGGGGTGTGGGGTGTGATGGGTGTGTGGGGTGGGGTGTGTGGGTGTGGGTGTGTGGTGTGTGGTGTGGGGGTGTGGGGGGGTGTGGGGGGGGTGTGGGGGGTGTGGGGGGGTGTGGGGGTGTGGGGGGTGTGGGGGGGTGTGGGGGGGTGTGGGGGGTGGTGGGGGGGGGGGGGTGGTGGGGGGTGTGGGGGGTGTGGTGTGGGGGGGTGTGGGGGGGTGTGGGGGGTGTGGCGTGTGGGGTGCGGCGTGTGGGGTGCGGCGTGTGGGGTGCGGTGGTGTGCTGTGGTGTGCTGTGGTGTGCTGTGGTGTGCTGTGGTGTGCTGTGGTGTGCTGTGGTGTGCTGTGGTGTGCTGTGGGATTGGGTTGGCCCGTGGGGTGGTTGTGATTTTCAGGTTTAATTTTTAACCACCTTCCCCTTCCCTGTGGTGTGGTGTGCTGTGGTGGTGGGTTGTGGGTTTCAAGTTTAGTGTTTAACTCCCTTCCCCCCTCCCTGTGGTGTGGTGGTGGGTGTTGGGTTTAGGGTTTGCACCCGCACCCCCCTGTGGTGCGGTGGTGGGTTTTGGGTTGTTTAACCCGTCTTTTCTGTGGTGTGGCGCGGTGTGGTCTGGTGGTGGTGGGTTGTGGGTTTCAGGCTTCGTGGTTTAACCCCCTTCCCCCTCCCTGTGGTGTGGTGGTGGGTGTTGGGTTTAGGGTTTATTGTTTGCAAAGGCACCCCCCCCTGTGGGTGGTGGGGTTGTTTAGGGTTTAGGTGTATAGATCCCTCAGCAGCTGGGCACGGCGCAAACCGAAACATGGCCCATCCAGGTGAGTGTCGCCATTTTGGACACACCACGCAGATGTATAGCTTCAAAACCCACAACACTCACGAAGATCGCGGCTCGGGGGGCCCATCCCTGTGATTGTTGACACTTTTGAGATCAAAATGACGATCCTCACGAGGATTTTGGGTGTATACCGGGGGGAGGATATCATGGGGGGGGTGGGGGGGGGGCGACTAACACGCAACAAGGCACCATGTATGGTAACCCCCCACGAACTACCGACCCTCGTCTTGTATCGTAAATAATTACCATGTCAAACCAGCTTTTCCGGCAGGTCAGGATTCTGTATCTCTCAAAGACTACCAAAATCAAAAGCACATTCCCAATAAAGCGTGCCAGCCAGCTCGTTCAGGTTCAACGTCAGCGCGCACTCCAACGCAACACGGTCCTATCAAAAACCAGCTTTGCTAGGGAAAACAAGAAAACACAAAAACCAGCTTGTGGGAAACTATACAGCCAAACTCTCAAAAGATGATTTGTTGGTTTTCTCTAGGAAGAAATTGGCTTCGGTGTGGAAAAGATGGTTTTGAACCGGAAAACCTACTTTTTCCCGAGGAAAACCAATGAAAACAAGAAAAACAAACATTGGAAACTATGCGGCTGGAATCCAAGAGGATTGTTGATTTTCTGTTTCACTTAAGGAAAAATTTGTTTTTGATACCAAACCCATATTTGCCTAAAGAAAAATGGTTTCTCACGCCAAAACCATCTTTTTGCTAGGGAAAAATTGGTTCTTTGAACGAAAACCATCTTATCCTAGCAACAAAGTTGGTTTCGGTGTGACAAACACCAACTTTTTCCTAGGGGAAACCCCCAAAAATCGTTTGAGACTTTGGACGCATAGTTTCCCAAAGGATTGTGCTGTTCGGTTTCCCTCGGAAAAAATTGGTTTTGGCCCAAAACCATCTTTTCCTAGGGAAAAAGTTTGCTTTTCTGTCCAAAACCAACCTTTTCCTGGGACAAATTGTACTTCACTCCAAGACCAAATTTTCCGGGCAAAAGAGTCTGCAGTTAATGTGTTGTTTGTGTGCGTTACGATCTAGTTTTGCCAACAAGGTTCCAGTATCAATACTATTGGGATTCGATTCCATTTAGCTTTAGCGTTGAGGCTATATACTATCCTGCGTACTCACCAGCACATTGTTCGGATCAGATTTTGGTGAGCTAATGCTCCAGGTTTAACACAGAACAGGACCCAAGATATCAGGGATATCACAATTATCACAGCTACCACTACGATTTCTTTTAGCTGGCCAAGGTTGTAAAATGAATCCGAGAAACATCGAGGTCAGTCACAACAAATATTACGGTCACCATTGACATAAGGGCGAATGGCAAGGATATGCTTAGGGCTTAGGGTTGATGTTGCTTGGAATCAGGAGTCAGTTAACGATCCTTTTCATTACCTTGGTATCCAGTACAGGTTTAGCCTCAGCACTAGTACGTGCTTATACACACATTAATGTACATACACGCGTACGGGCAAGTCCGACAGCAAGTCCGATATGATCATAAACTACAATGAGAAGGCGGTGCCATTCACATCATGTTGAAGTAAACACACAAATTCTTCTATCATCCCTAAGAAACTGGGGGCCATCTTTGGGCAACCCCAGAGCGACAGTAAGAATCGTGGTGCTGAACGGAAGTCGTTTTCGCGTAGTTTCATATTAGGATGAATATGACTGCTACCGTTGAAGCACACATTTGGGCAGTGCTTAGCTTACCTGTATAAATCTGAACAGTATCTAGTGTTAGGGATGCCCTGACTTTTAACTTCGGAGTCTCGAATGCTCATGCTCGGGATACCACAACCACCATCTGGATTGAAAAATTCCTACGTAAGGCAATTATTGGGGTTGCTGTTGAGGGAAGTATCCGGCACAATACAAAGCTTCCAATGGTAACAACTTACGGGTAATGTTAAATTTGCAGGTAAGGTCCATCTTAGAGTCAGATCCCAGGTTGCCAAACGGACTTACTATCGGGGGGCCAATCAGGCAAATACCTCTTAGTGCATTAACCTTCAGGTCAATATGGGAGCTAGTTATGGGGATGCATAATGGGGTTGCCAGTCGGCATAGCATTGTAACATATTGTAACCCATACGAACCAAAACGGTGATCTACAAGGCATCTCTTTTGGGTGAACATGAAGCAAGATAGTGCTGTAACGAGTGGGGCCAACATTGTAAAGGTCTAATGGCAAGATTTGTCTTAGTGATACTGCTGTTTGGGCATAGGAGTAAGCCAAAGCTCACGGTCATTCATACGTATTTCCGGGGCTTTGATCTGAAAATACAGTGAAGGCTATCTTGACAGTTAATAGTCGGGCCCAAAGGACATTCATCGTTCGAGAAATCATCCCTCGGAGTATCTGAGTAAATCGTCGAAAAGAATTGAGAATGAAGGACGGCTGCCGATATGCATATGCTGTCACCTCGGGACGCTAGGCCCACCAGAAGCCTAAACGTAGCAGGATTCGCAGGGGTATCGCGGCACCTCGCGGTAGTTCTTCGGGGGGGTGGTGGCGGTGGTGGTGGTGGTGGTTAGCATGCATGTATGTATATATATATATATACATACATACAGAAGGGGAGGCTGTGGGGCCGGCGAAGTAGGAATGACCCAATGCGGGCTAATTCGCGCATGTTTCGGACGTCACACTGTAGATAAAACGGGTGAGAAATTTGCCTCTCTTTTACAGTCCGTGTTGACAGTCCTCATGTCTTTTCCTGTATGTAGTACATGAATCGACTGCACATGCGAAGCTGCATGAATACTCTTGCTTTTACAAGCTTACCTTTCGCAGACGTCTTGGGCTTTCAAGCGAAACATCGGCTAGCTGTTTGTGAACGGACACTCACCAACTCCACTCCTGCTTCTAAATGGGCGTCTAGGGTTTAGGGTTTAAGGGGTCTAAGGATTTAGGGTTTAGGGTTTAAGGCGTCTGGCTCGAGTGCAGCTGGTGTGTAGCGTCTCCGGTTAGGAGTGGTTTCGCGCCCTGCATATAACCGACCCCAGCTCTGTGTTGAGCGCTGCCGTTTGGCTTTGATAGCCTTTCTGCTGTTACCGAGGGGGCGCGCCCCTCTTCCCAGCTCTCGCTGCTTCGGCCGACAGCTGGTGTGGTACCGCGACTGGAGGTCGCATGCCCAAGGCCAGGGTTTACTGGCCGATTTACCCGCTCTTGATTCTTGGCACTGGCCTTGTTATCTGGGGCAGTTTTGGTGGTGCGAAGCCACGTGAGCAGGGCGCCAAGCCCGCCGTGGCACCGTCGGCTTCGACGAGCCCGGTCGAAGGCGAGGAAACTTTTGCGGGCAGGCAGAACCTCGCTGGTAGCGCGTCGGCTCCTGCAGGCCCATCACGGGAGCATGGCCCTCAAGGCAACAGCAAATGTGCCGGCATCAAGACCTCCGGGTGGAAAACAGAAAGGTCGTGGCGATCAACCACAACCTCAGCAGAATCGCATAGAGTTTGCCTTACCTTCGAGTGTGGTGCAGGCGGTTCAATCATTGTCTACACGGGCTACGCAAGACTTATGGACGGCTGCACCGGTGCCTTTTCTGGCAGGGACGGCGGAGCAGAACCTCCAGCGGAGGACCAACCTTACCAACAAACTTGCCAAACGCCTGTCAGGCAACGAGCGTGCGAAAGTCGACATGGCCGTCGCTTTGCAGGCTTGGTTCGGCTTTGTCAGCCAGCATATGCTCGGCCTTCTGGCGCAAGTCCGTGCAATCGGACAACGGTTGGACGACGACACGGCCGTGGCTGCCAGGGAAATGCGAGAGATCCTTTCCGAGCAGCCCTCAGAGACCACAGCGGCTCAGGTGAACAAGGCTCTAGCTGCGGTGGGACCAATCTGGTCAGAGCCTCAGGAACAGGAGGTGCTGCAACTTGCTGCCCGACTTCGTGCTTTTGGTACAGTTACAATGCAACCAGTGGGCAACACCGTGGCAACCCCCGCTGGAGGGCTGCCACCAGGTGCGACGCTTGTGGAGGATGGCGCTCCTTCCGGTCGCACAAGCACTACGGATGCCACTCTCACCTTGGTTTCTCCTCAACATTGGGGCGACACTGGAGGAGTGCGGCTTGGGGCTCATCTGGGTATGGGCTCCGTGGCAAGCTTTGGTGCCACGGACGAGGATCTCCTAGGCCTCGATGGCTCAGGAGACCCAGCCATACCGCCTCTCGCCACGGAGTTACCTGGCATATCTACTGTGGATGTTCGGGCCCCGACTGCAATGCCGTCGCCTCCGATTCCAGCTGGTGTAGATGCGACAGCGTTACCGGTTTCCACAGGAGGCAGATGGAGGAAGCGAAGTGGTGGCCACACGGAGAGGCCATCCAAAAGCCCACGACGCGAGATCGACACGGGCACGCCGTGGCCATCCCTGAAGACAGGTCGTACGCCGGACAAAGCGCCCAGGTCTTCGCTTCTGGCTGCCGTGGAAGACGAAGCGGAGCTGATCCCGGCGGAGCGCGAGCCCCCACGCACTTGGGAGCAGGCATGGACTGCTCTTCTGCAGTTTGCAGTTTCCCAAGGAGGGGAGTGTGTGGGCGAACTTGCTTCTTGCCCCGAGTAAGATGCGATCGTCTGTCCAGTCTACAACGCCGAGAAAGAAAGCGAGGTCTTGACACACTGTGGAGCGGTGTGGCAATACCTCCAACAGGTGCTGCAGAGCAGGGATTTAGGTGCACTTCCTGGTTTATACCAACAACTGCGAGATCTGCTGCCTCTTGTCTGTTCGTGCGCAGGTGTTGTCAGCCACCTGCCCCAAGGCCTTCTTGTCGCGGCGCATGTTACTGCAGGAGGGCTCCTCGACCCCTACAGCTATGCACCCGCTACTCTGCAGGAGTGGCTGCACCCTACCCTGCTGACCGAAAGAGGAGGTCCCTTCAAAGGGTATATTGCTGTGGAACCTGCAGAGGATCCCCAAGTGCGTGCACTGTTGCAACAACCCTGCCCATTCTTGAGCGGCACAACTGCCCGGCAAGTCGAGCCCTAAAGAATAGGCTCCACGGTATCTGTGTTTGGCTTCGTCCTTTTTGGGTAATAGGGTTCGCCCTTTTCTGCCTTCTTCCATGGAGTTTGGCCTTGTTGCTCCTGGAAGGATTTCTCGGCGGACAGCAATGGACGGGTCGGCACGACACCTCCGACAAAGTCGGTATGACTGCTCCTCACAGCACCCTTCGCTCTTCTGCTTGCGTTTGGCAGGAGCTGCACGGCCTTTTCCGGAGTGTTCTGGCCCTCCGATGGGGTTCCGTCTGGCGCCTTGGACCTGGTTTGTTGTGTGCTTGGTTGTCCACGCCATGGGTTGGACCGGCCGTCAGTGTTGCAGCCAGATGGATCCTGCATGGCAGCATGTCGCCATTTAAGATTTGCCCGAGCTCGCGCCAGCTACGGGTCTATTTACTCTTATGGCTTTGCTGCACCCCAACTCACTCGGTTCAGATTTGGCCGGTTAGTGCTGCGCGGGGCCAACCTGTCTTTTCAACAGGATCGGTTCCTGCAGTTGTGGACGCGTCGGCCCTTGCACCAGTGCGTTTTCCGGGTGGTCCTTGCGTCGAACCTGTCCTGCAGCAGGTTCCAGCACCAATGCGCGACATCGGGGTCTTTGCCCCGTCTTTGGCGCACTGCCCTCAGGTCCTCCATGTTGATGACCGTACCCATGGGGCCCTCCTGTTCCGACAGGTGTGCTCCGCGCTAGGTCTGCAGACAGCGGAATGGAGTTGGCGCCGCCAGGTTGAAACACTGCCTTCACTCCCACCGGAGCAGTACGTTCTTACCGAGCTCACCCTCCCGTGGTTCCGGATCCGTGTTCCGGTCGACCTTCGTGCTGTCGGCGGGTCTGTCTCGCTCTTAGACACCTTCCGACACCAGCCAGGCGCCGCGATAATCAGGGACGCGGCTGTGCAGCAAGGCATACACGTTGATGTGAACAACTGCCTGTGTCGGTTGGGAAATGCTTGGTTTGTTCCCCAGGCCTATGTGCTTTTGCTCCCGCAAGGAGACGCATTGCAGGTGTGGCCTACGGTACGTCTTCCCCAACCTGTACCACCCTCTCGTCATGGCTCTCTGTCCCCTAGATTGTCTCTAGAGGACGTGTTTTCCACGAGCCTTTCGCTGCCTGGACCCGCGGAGCTTGCATTTCATTCTGAGACTGGGGTCAATGCGGTGGTTCTGTATGCCAACGGGCTGTTCTTTACCTTCGCCCCGATGTTTGCGGACCATCTTTCCATTCGTTCAACTGTGATGGGAGCTTTCATGTCGGATGTCACGTGCGGGGGTGCCACTTTTAGCCATTTCGCTCGGGTCCTCCCTCCTTTGGAGCAGTTGCCCGCGGTGCAATTTGTTGCCTTACAACGTCCTGAGGGTTGTCTCCCAGGCCTTATCGATTTCCGACCACTTGGTGCGGGGCTTGCCGTGCTTCCTTACCAACCCGGGGCGAGCCCGGCGACGCGCCTGGCACTGGCTGTGGCCACATCCGGAGAACCAGTACCGGAATGTAGGCTTGCTGAGCTTCTTGCTCGGGGCAGTTTAGTGGTGCTCCACCGTGAACACTCGGTGGATCCTGACAAGCCTCTCGAAGCTAATGCACCAGCCCCGCTTGTGGTTTTACGTCGCCGGACCCTCCCGGAGGCTTCGCCATGCTCGGCCAGCGGCTGTTCTTCTGCGAGTGGGCGCTCAGCCATCAATTTTGGGGTTCTCTTGGCGGTTACTACGCGGTATGGTGTTCGTTCGGCTGCCTTGTTGCTTCTCGTGTTGCGCGTCAGCTGGGGTACTTTTCTGCAACCGGACCCCGATCCGCCCGCCGATGGGATAGCCCTCCATCGTAAGTCAGATGATGCACAGGTTAGGATCCCATTAGACACGGAAGCCGGGGTTGGCGCGCACCACCGCCTCGCCCAGAGACTGAGCGCGTCCCGTGAATGGGCTTCTGCTGAGTGGAGCAGGAGTCAGAATTTAGCGACTGCCCCTGCCTCACACTACTACTTTCAGGTAGCATCGCCCGGCGATTCTGTTTGGTTTCTCTTCCCAGGTGACCGAGGAGCAGACGTCCTGAAGAGCGTGCTGCTCAGGGCAGGGGGCTTGTTGGGACGTGGTTTCCCGATCTTGGTTCAACCTTCTGCATTTGATCGATGTGTCCGATTCATCTCCCCAGCGCGCAGTCTGCAGTATGTTACTGTGCTTGTTGATGCTGGTGGACCCTTGATCTGTCTGGATGTGGTTCGTTCCAATCCTGGGCCCTCCATTCTGCAGGCGCTGGTACTGCTTTTCCCGGGAGGAAGCTTTCGTCTTGATGAAGGGGCGCCTCACCCATTGCGACATGGAGATGTAGTCGTGGCGCATAGTGATGATAAGATTGACCTGCCAGACGTTGGGGCTTTGTCTGTACCGATGCCCACGTTTTCAGCGACCAGTTGGCTTGTTCCGCATACCGATGTGTTTATCACGTCTGCCGACCAAGGCCTGCTTTCGGTCGAAGTCCCTAAAGGATTCACTAAGTACCGTCTTGAGTCAGCTCTGCAGTCTTGGTACGGTGAGCATCGTTGTGGGACAGGTTGCCTCATTCGACTGCCTCTTTCCGCGCCGGCGGTCGACTTGTTCTGTCTTATTGAGCGCACGCACAGCACGCTCACAGTTATGCTCACCGATGTTCTGGATTGCGGGGTTCTCCCGATTGTCCTCACTGTGTCTGCCCCAGTCTCTGAGGAGCTGCCTTTGTCAAGCATTCGGGGGATGGCTTCGCCACAGTCGTCCTTTTGGAACGCGGTCTTAGACCAACAGCCAACCATTTTGCGGCACTTTGCGCTTTCGGCGGCGCAAGTCAGCTCAGGCCTTCCCTTCGTGTTCTTTCAGCTTGGATTGGACTTCTGTCGATTGTCTGATGCAGGATGGCGCCTCTCCCAACAGCAAGCCCCTGGGAAGCTAGCCCTTGCTGCGCTACAGCCGGAAGCTTTCCAGGAGCCAGTCCTTCCGAGTTCCCGGGTTGAACAGGGAGTTCAAACCTTCCCCCTGCACTGGCCAGCTCATGCACGGCCGGCACCAACGAAGGCACTGGTTAAACGTCGTCCAGCTAGGGGCTGCGTCGCAGTACCGGGACATTTCTCGTCAGGTCCCATGCGACTGCTTGAGTGCCCTCATTTTGGTGTTAGTTGCCGAGTTCCTTGCAGCGAAGGCCATTTTCCTTGGGCCATCCGAATAGGAGAATGGGTGAGAGCTGCTTGCACGTTGTCGGTGGACTGGCCCGAAGTTATGTCAATTGGAGGGCTCACCACGTGGGACCTGCCAGGTGTTGAGATCCACGGGCAGTTGGCTGTTTGGAAATGGCCTGGTGAAGTGTCCTCTCTGGCTGGGGAATGTGGGCACCTTTTCCAGGAAGGCCATGACGCCTTCGCATGCGATGCTACACGTGGCCTCCAGGCACGCATCAATGGGGTTCTGAACCAGCCGTCAGTTGCAGCATTTGCCAGTGTGGTCAGTCCTGCCTTCGGACGCAGCCTGACGACTCGATCATGCCTCGGATGGTGGCTCCTCCTTCCTTTTCTTCTTCAGGGCCCGGTGCCGGTGTTGGGTGCGGCCTCAGATACTGACGATGAATGCCCAGAACCGCAGGTATTCCCTCGATACGACAGTTCCCCGCCAGTGGCCGTGGCTTGGTGCTATGAGCTATCCTGTCAAACCACACACTTGGGTGTCATGCCTGCCTCCCTTTGGGGATACTGCCAGGCTAACGCACCGACTGACACGATTCGCTTCCACATTTGGACACCCTTTCAAGGGCCTGCCATTTTTGATTACCCCAAGGGCGGGCCGCTGTCCGGGTTTAACAGTTTGCTCTGGGAAGCAGGACATCGCCCGGACTCCTGCGGTCTGCATGTTGCGTTTGACACGCAACCTACTGTCCTGGATGTTGTCTCGTGCCCGATTGGGGATCCTACCTGGTGGATTGTTAGGGATGGCATGTCGAGGGAGCTTCTGCGCCCTGTTGCTCCATGGTACGAGCCGATGGTCTGAACTCACTTGGTCAAGCCCAAGGCCTCTCTTTTGGCCCAGAGGCAGGTGCGATGCAGAGGCTTCCTGCTGGGGTCCGAGCAGCCATCACTTACCCCTTTTCACGCGTCTTAGGGCACCTCTCGGCTGGAGGGTTAGTTCTGACTGAAATTGCGATTGGCTCCTTTTCTAGGGCTATCTCCACGCGCAGCTCCTTGCTGATAGGGGCTCTGCTGGGATCGCTACACGTCCGTCCTGTAAGGGCAATGCAGCAGGATCTTATCTTGCGCACTCCTTCCGGCCAGCATCAGGGGCATCCCCCTGCGTGGGGACTTCCTCGCGATCCGGCGCCTACCATCTGTCGGATCTGGACTTATACCCTAGCAGCTCCCACGGTTGTTCCGTATGTTCCTGCTCCCGACCCGGGTGTTATGGCCACCTATGTGGCCAATACTGCTAGGGGCGTTACTGCCACAGGTGATTTTGTCTGGACGAGCCCTCAGATTGTCCACGGGGTTGCGCACCTTTTGCATGTACCGTCTGGCTCGACCGCATCCTTGATATTTTGGCTTTTGCACTATCGAGGTCGAGCTGCTGTCATGAGCGTACCCAGAGCGGTTTTCGATTGGCAGCATGTTGGACAAACAGCTGCTGAGGAGTTTGGCTTGCCGTTCTTTTCACAGGGACAGTTCGGTATTTGGCACGGGGGCCGGGTTATTCCCTTCGGGTCTCAGTTGCCAGCACCAGGCCACGGGACCATTATTACCTTGGTGCGTAATCTTCCGGTTCCTAACGCGGGTTTCTCTTCCTGGGATGCGCCATCGGATGCACTGGCTTCCTTTCACTTTGACTATGACCTGTGCCGTGGTGCAGGAGGGGAACTTCCTCTAGCCGGCGAGACCTGCCTCCAAGTGCTGCCATCCGGTATGAGTCAGTCACCTCCAACACCTGCTGAGGCTGCTGGTCCGTCTCGCACTGCTCCAACGCGCTGGCCCACTAGGGAGCCCCACTCTGCCCCCCCTAGTGTCGTTCGGCAGGTCAATGAGATCAGTCACCAGCTCACGATGCTTACCTCCCGACTTGAGGTTGCGGGCGTTCTCCCAGGGAGCGAGCCTGATGAGGCGGGTGCCGCACCATGGTTTAATGGTCCTGAGGAGTTAACCAATAAGGACAAGTCGACTGCTTAGAGCTGTACATCCCGTTGCGCAATGGGGCGTCTTTCTTCTTGGGAGGTTCCTGGGGCAGTCTGGTTTCGTACTAGGGGTTCTCTCGGCCATCACTCTTGTTCGTGGCGACGGTGAGGATAGTGCCCCCTCGGAACCCTCCCAGCCTAGTTCACCAGACCTTGCAGAGGTTACGGCCCCTACGCCGGCAGCCGAACTTGTAGGGACAGGAGGTGAGGACACCCATCTGCTCCGCCCGAGTGATGAGGACGCTGCACGCACTGGTACACCGGTTGTAGGCCAATGGCCTGCTGTTGCGCCAACCTTCGATCACGCGTCCATTCCCACTTTGCAAGGACGTGTTATTGCTTTCATGTGCGAGGTCGACGACCGCAGCAACAGGGACCGACCTTTTCTGCCGGCGGGTTGTCCGCTGACTATTCATAATCCTTTCACAGTCTCTGACCAATGTAGCGTGGTCACTCCCCTTGTTGGATCCGGGCAAGAATTTAGGTTTCTGCTCCAAGATTTCTCTGGCCGCCGTGGATGGCAGCAGATACTTCCTGTCCAGCCGCAGCCCGATGCAGAGGCGGTTCATCTGATTCCTGCAGCGGCTGATTCGGCCCTGGCTTCCGTTGTGCTCCGCACCCATCGAGGGCTCCACCCGGTTTGCCTTCCAGCTACGCTCCCGGTTGGTCCTAGTCGGGCGTTGACCTTAGGTGGGCGTTTTGGCCGACTGCGCGAACCGTACCCTCTTCGACGCAATGTCGAACGGCCGGTGCACCTTCGAGATGGTGACTGCCTCCTTCTCGACTCCGGTCCGTTTGGCCCGCCGCCTCCGACACCAGTTGTCACCAGTGGGGCTGCAGTGTTGCCACTGTGGCTACTTGCGGGAGTGTCTTTTAGATACGTCCCTATGCGCTTTCTGGTTTTCCTTCCTGCGGTCCAGGCAATGCTCCAGTGGACGGACACTTTGAGGCCGACACGTCGTGACACGGTCGACGTGGGCTCCTTCGCTTGGCGAGACGCAAGGTTTGACAGGACACTCGAGGGGATTGTTAGTCAGCCGCGGCTGCGGTGTGTCCTTTTGTGTCCTCTGACCGGCATGCAAGGTCCGCGTGAGATAGCTACGCGCACTGCTTACCCTGCGCTGCTCGGCCACTATCAAGCTGTGCATGGCGACTGGATACGGGATGTTGTCCCAGTCTGGCCGGGGCTCTTTCGTGACCGTCTAGTTCTGGTACCGGATATCGGGGCCGACCCCAGGTGTGTTTGTATCGTGGCGTGCCACTTGGACACTGCAAGAGCATTCTTGGTGCCCGGCCGTTGTACCTTTGACTGCCTTCTGCGGACACTACGCCATTTGTCGGGTTGGCCCATCATGCATTTGGGGGTCTCCCCCTCTGTTCGCTCTTCCCTGCCGAACCCTCGCACCTGGGAACTGAGCCTTCGCACTGCGGATGTTCTAGAAGTATTCACGGGAACGAAGGATGTTAATGCTTTTGTTCCACAGATGCCTCTCAGTCTCGTTTCTCAGGTGCGGTGGACCGCCCCATTTGTGGTTGCAGAGCCTGACTTAGTTGGTGTCTGGTCGCCGGTTCACGGGGGTCCGATTTTTACCCGGGTTGATGCAGGCGCATTTTGGACACCTGAGGACAGGACGTTTGAGGGCTCTTTCAGGAGCCGCTGGCCAGGTTCGTGGGTCCCTATTCCATGGCACCCGGGAAATTGTGTGCACTTAATGCAAGCGTCCACTAGTCCGGGAAGAGCGCATATTATACATGAAAGCCGCGAAGGGGTTGTGGCGCTTGCCTTCACTGCCCGTACCAGCCGTTCTGAACTTGCTGAAGAATTGCATTCCTTGCCTGAGTACATGTCTGTACTCGGCGCTACACCTGAGGACACCATCGCGCCCCTAGTACTCCGGGATGGTGATGTTGTACTGGACTCATATGTCTATGAGCAACGCTGGCTCTCTGTTTGGAATCGTGGGCGACGATGGAGGCTAGACAACTCGGTCTGCCTCTCGATTGCTCTGCTGATCGCAGCACGTCAGCCGGCCCTCTTCGGTCTTCTTGTCGGAGGTCTTCCCACGGCTGAGGCGGTCCGTCGCGGTCGGAGCCGAACTCCCAGCTCCGCACACTCGTCTGCCGACTCAGATGATGACTTATGCCCTCGAGCTAATGCCTGGCGCCCTGAGCACCCACAACCTATGTTGGAGGTCCTGTCAAGTGGTCAGGGCCACTATCATATCCTCTCTCCCTTCCACAGCGGAGCCTTCCCGGCGTACTTTACGCGCGAAGTCGCGGGTACAACGTTGGACGGCCTGGTGGCTGAATTCTGTGGCCGATGGAGTCGAGGTCATGTGCTGCTTGGCCCTACCATCGGGCGCCAACCTATGACAATCGTCCCTGGGGGCCTCGCTGATCTCGCGACAGTAGTGGTGTCGGTGTGTGGGCGTCACTTTGCCTTGCTTCTACCGCGTCATTTCTCGCTCCGGGAATTGCGAGCCCATTTGGCCCTGTGGAGGCCATGGCAGAATCGTCTTGTGCTTCCGCCCTCCCTTTCTCGGTGTAGGGACCTTGAGAGTCTGCCGATGGGGTTGCGGGATGGCGATGTCTTTGGCTGGCATGATGACCATAACCATCCCCATGTGCCCGAGCCTCCTCTTGCGCAACATCGTTTTGTCAACTGGTTGCCTCATCTCACATGCTGGCATGCTTCTTTCAGCGTGAAGCACGGGGGCTGGGTCTATGTTTGGCATCCGCATGGAGACCCACTTTTTCAGTGTGAACGACATTGGGTGCACGCAGGGTCCCGGTGGCTCCCGGGCAGCCTCCAGTTTGTACGTCCTCGGTGCATGCCCGGTAATGACCGATGGGTCCCCGCTCAGTACCACGCGGATGGCGCTTGTCATTTTGTGCGGCAGGCGCCACCAGGAGCAGCACATGTTCTCCAGCACCGTCCTTTTAGTGACGAGCCAGTAGAATGTCTCCTTCTTGAGCGCACCAGGGGCGAGGACTGTTTACCCCCTGGGTGGCAAGTGGAACACCGCCTTCGACGCGGCATGGGGGAAGTGATTCTCCGTGACGGTGACACTCTTATTCCTTCCCATGCGCCATCCCTTACTCCGCTTAGTGCGGCCGCGGCGGCTGTCTGCGCGCGAATGCCGGCGCGACTAGTACTATGGTTGCTGGTTTTTAGCCTGTCTCGATGGCCGGCAGCTGCAATGTTTGTGCCTCCCGAGGCTCTTACTGATTCCTCAGTGCGGGTGGGCAAGTTTCCTTGGCGACTTCCCCCTGAGGACCGTGCCCTGCATGAATCCATCCCAGGCGCTTTCACCTGTAGGCTACTGTCCCCCTTCGGGGTGAGGGGCGATCCTGCTGTGGTCATGCGACAAAACGACACTGTGGAAGAAGTCAGGATGGCCTTGACGGGCTCTGAGCCGGTTTGGTCGCACGAAATAGTTCCGGTGTGGCCGTCGCCCTCGCCTGACCAGTTGGTGTTTGTACCCGTGGCCCCGTCACCCGCCATGGCATGCCTGGTCGTTCTCTCAGTTGAATGGCAAATGCCGGTGTTGATCCCTAATCGTGCTGACATGGCCTGGTTGTTGGATTTCATACGAGGTATGTCGCCAGGCCCACTCTTCTCCCTCAGAGGTCCGCCTGCGGCGGTGGGTCCAGTCACTAGCGCCCACGAAGCCGTGCGTTGGAGGGATGGGGATCTGGTTCTGGCTTTTCCCACTTGGAGGTTCCGGTTTTTCGTGCTGATGGACAGAGTGCCTCCTCTGCGAGCGTTCGGCACATGGCTCTCTGGGCCCTGGACTTTAGGAGTGAAGTGGACCTTCCTCTGGTCCTATGGAGACCAGGACAGCGCCCGATACGTACACGTGTGCCTGCTCCAGCAATCTGAGATTCACACCTCCACACTTTTCAAGGGGATTTTCAGGTTCGGTACCCCGGTCAGTGGAGCCCGGTGCCTTGGGCGTATGACGATGGAGACCCTTAGAGGTGATCGCCTTTTGGGCACGTGTCATACTGTTCACGCGCTTGCTAACGCGGCTACCTGCCAGATCCTTCTTGATCGAGATACGGATCCATGCTTTCTACTCGGGCAGCCCCAAGACAAACCCTGGGCTGAGCTCCGTAACGGGGATATAGTACACTTTCCGGACGCCGAGGTTTCAGCTGCGGTCCAGGTCTCTCGCTGGCCCTCTGTGTTGTTCTGGGGAGTCGTTCTGTCCAGGGCACTCGGTTGGAGAGGATACCTGGCTTTCCTGTTGCTTAGCGCTGACGCCTACTCGGCACAAGCGATGAGGGAAGCTCCCCCCCGAGATACCGGGCAGCCACGACACTGCCTCTGGTGTCCTGCGCATGGGAGGCTGGGGCCCTTTCTGGACGCAGACACAGCACTCTATGCAACAGGCTGGAATTCTCTTGATGTTACCCTCGCCCCAGTTCGGCCAGCGCCGCTTTCTATTGACAGCCATTGGGTTCCGGGCTGGGTATTAGAGGGTGGGCCACAATTCTGATTGTCGGTGCACCAGCGCCACGAGCGCTCCTAGTGCCAACCCCAATAACTGCCCCGGCTTTGCGCCGGCTTCTTCAGCCGCTCTTTGGGAGTGTTCGCAGATTCCAGGGCAATGCGCCCGAATTGTCAGTGGCGGGACCTGCTTCCTCACCTATTCACCTCCAGGATGGCAGCTTATTCAGGATGGCTGGGCACCGTCACTTGCTTTCCCATTCTACCGTACTTTCTCCTCCCTCCGCAGCGCCGTCCGATACGGCTTCTGGAGTGATCGCCTCGAGATTGCTGGTGGGGGCTGGATCATCCTGTGGCGGCAGGCTGATACAATACACAGGATTCTGCGGGCACAGCCGGGTCAGCAGTGGCATCCCGAGCGAGGGGCTTTGTTACCGGCTATGTCCGGGGAGCCGGAGGGCTGGTGGCCCTGGGCTCACGTCTGGGACTCGGCTGAAATCATCCATATGTCCCCCACGTCTGCCATGACCACCGCATCCCCACTTCCAAGCGGCCATGTTCCTCGCGAGTCTGGCCTGCCGACTGCTATCAGCAACTCGGCCCGTTCTAACACTGGTGGCATGCCCTCACTTGTGTGTTGTGGCCTCCTTGCTATCCCGTGGTGGCGAGGCCGCTCTCTGAATGGCAAGGAGGCGACTGGGCTCCTCTGCATCCTGGCGTGCTACCTCGCTGCTTGGGGGGCCCCCCTGCAATGGCATGAAGTCTCCAAAGGGACCTGGGAGCTGGATGTCGCGCCGACGTGCCAGCTTCAGGCACAGCTGCATCAAGGTTGGTGGTCTCAAGGCTTAGGAGACTTGTTACCTGGCTGTCTCTCTTCCGCCTACCATACTGCTTGGCAAGCGTATCCGGCATGGGAAGGCGGGCCGCCAGATAGCCTTCTCATTGCCACAGATGGCAGTGGCGAAGGCCCGGGGGCCTGGGCCTTTCTCGTCTGGGGTCTGTTTCGCCATAAGTGGTTTCGCCTCGGCTGGGCCGCAGCTACATTACCAGTTACCCCTTGGTTGCCTGAAGAGTCCCGCAGCACGCACCCTGGGCTGCGCTCCTTCCATAGTGAATTGGCGGCTTTGCAAGCAGCAGGCCACTGGTGTGCCGCCATGCTCGATCTTTGGCAACTGCGCATGCGGCACAGGCCGACACAAGTCACTATAGTGGTGGATAATTCCTCCGCCCTCCAGGTAGCTGCAGGACAAGCATCAGCGGCGACCGCGCCTGCACAAAGAACCCGCCTAGCCTGGCAGGTAGTGCAGGCGCGCGTCACTACGCACTTCCGCCATGTTCACAGTCATGTCGGGGTCCTCGTCAACACACTCGCGGATGCAGTCGCTGGCGTGGCTGTCACCGGTGACTGCGACCTCTGGGTCTCACACCCGCACTTTCGTCTCCATGCGGACTTGGACTTTGATCATTTCCCATGGCTATGGGTTATACCCCAGAGTCGGCTTCGCGAAGGGAAAGGGGTTTTCTCAATAGCTACGGGGCCGACTGACTGGCTGCCACCAGTCCCCAGTGAGGATAAAAAGCAGGCAAGCACGTGCGCCGCCACCCAGCCTCTCGGGCCCCTACACCTTCTCACTGCCAATATACAGTCTATTAAAGACCCGCGTCAGAGTGTTTTCAACCCTTCTGGTCACGGTGGCCGTCGCCAATACCTTTACCGGCAACTGCTCGATATGCACGCAGACATAGTGTGTCTTCAGGAGACCCGGGCACCCGCGGGTCGGTGGGCTACCGGCGGATGGCTCTCCTGGCGCTCCGGCGCCGATCGTGGCCAGTATGGTTGTGAAATTTGGGTTCGACCTGACATAGTTAGTCCGCCACTTTCATTGGCCTCGTGCAAGATCTTGAAGGCAACGCCGCGTCTTCTTGTCATCACATGCGTTGATGAGAGGCTGCCTCTCACCATTTTCTCTGCTCACGCACCCCATCAGGACCGCCCCCTGCATGAGGCTAAAGGCTTTTGGAGCGAGTTGCACCAAGCACTGCACCAAGCGCCTCGACTTCGCCCTCGGCTTCTCGGCATCGATGCCAATGCTGATTTCTGCGCTCAGGACGCGGAAGAGCAATGTATTGGCTCACTCATTGCTGCACACCCGCCAACCTCCAACGATGAGTTCCTTTTTGAGTTCGTTACTGTTAACGGGTTAGACTCTCCCGCAACCTTCCCGGAATACCAAGCCGGACAGGGGTGGTCCTGGGAACATACGGGCGGCAAACGCAAGCGTTTGGATCATTTGCTTTTCAGTACGGGTGATTGGCAGCACCACAGCACTGCCCAAGCCTGGGATTTCGACATAGTCAATTCCTACAGGGATCATGTTGCTTTAAGATCTCGCTCTACCCTGTTTCGGCCACGCCCTGTGGGGCGAATGGCTCGTCGTCGGGCGTTGCTGGGGGGACCGTTTGTTGAAGAGTTAGGGCGACACTTCTGGGAGCAACTCCCATCACCCCATGAGACTGCCACCAGCAGTGGTGAAGCTGTGTTCACCTTGCAAGATGCCTACCGGAAGTTTGCACAGCAACACGCTAGTCCCCGGGTCCTTAAGGTTCGTCAGCCGTACTTGGCCCCTGAGACCGTGCGTTGCTTATATCAGCTCCGAGATTGGCGGTGTCAGCTTCGGCATTCCCGGAAACTGCACAGGCAGCATACATGTCGCTGGGCGTTAGCCCGTTGGCGCCGACGCCCTCGGTCGATCCGCCTCCAGCATTTGGCCGATCTGCGTATGGCTCGCCACTATACGGCAGCCCTTGCTTTTCAGGAGGCTAAGGTCCAGGATTATGTTCATGGGCTGGCCAGGAAGGATAAGCAGGCGCACTTCTTGGCATTGACCACTGCTGCCCTTCAGCATTGGCACGCCCATGGTCGTCCCATGGAGTCCATCAACCACCTCAAATGGGCTTCTAGGAGAGCTGCTGAACGCAGGCAGGTCTATGCGGCTGGAGGGTACGACATAGAAGAGGCTCTTGAAGAACAATTTCGGCTACAAGAGGCCGGAATCCGCACGGACGCTGCACAGGTTGGTGCAGCAACCAGGTCCTGGCTGCGCCGGGATGCCCTCCCCTGCACACAGGCGGTCCCCTCCCTCCTTCAGGCGGAGGACAAGCGCCCAATAAGGCTCCAGGACCCGACGGGGTACCTAATGCAATATGGCACCACTTCCCGGCTCAGGCGGGACGCTGGGTCTGGGCGGTTAACACCAAGATAGCGTTGAGTGGCCATGAACCGTTTGGGTTCAAAGAGGCACTATACTTCGCACTTTACAAAAAAGGCCCGGCGGCCATTCCGGCCAACTATCGTGCTATTGCCCTTCTCAACGGGGTGGCAAAAATTTGGCACAGCCACCTCCGGCGGACAATCGGCAAGAACGTGCTGCAGGGTTATGCTGACACCCAGCTTGGAGGGAAACCGGGCGTGCCAGTGAGTTTTGCTGTAGCGGCCTACAGGGCAGCCATGGACCTCAGCGCCCAACTGCAGCGCAGTACTGCGGTGTTGTTTGTTGATATTCAGGCTGCATATTATGAAGTGAGCCGTCAGCTTATCTTCTGTGGTGATGCTGACCTCACGCCCGGTGAGGATACTGGTCGCCCCGACCTCCGACACCTTACCCAACTTGTCGACGGCCTTCTCTCTAAAGGGGCGTTAGAGCAGATAGGGATGGTTAGGGAGGAGCGCGAGTTACTACAAGACTGTGTAGCTTTCTCCAGATGGAGCCTGGCTGGCTCCACCTCTTCCTTCATCGCCACTCGAGGCTCCCGACCAGGGGATGGGTTAGCAGACATTCTTTTCGGAGCGTTGTTCTCTGTCGCACTCCGGCATATCCAAGCAACGTGCCTCCAGGAAGGCATCTCTCTGCAGGCAGCAGGCAGCTTTGTCGGAGCTTCTGATGATGTGCTTCCATTAGGCTGGGCAGACGATCTTGCCATTTTAGCGGATTTTGACTCGCCTCGCCAACTCCTCTGCCAACTGCCTCGGCTCGCTACCATCGTGCTTGCGACCCTTGAAGTTCTGCGCTTCCGAGTCAATTTGGCTGCAGGGAAGACCGAGATCCTGGTCGATATACGAGGTCCGGAAGCTAAAATCGTCCGTGGCGAGCTCCTGGCTCCGCCTTCTCTCCTGCATTTGCCTTCCGGTCATGCTGTCCGGTTGGCCCCGGAATACCGGTATCTCGGGGTGGTTCAAACCCCCAGGGATAATGGCCGGCGGGATATGGAATTGGCAGCACAACGAGGCCATTCCGCATGGTCTCATGCGAAGAGTCTGCTAGCCTGCCAGTCACTGCCGTGGCGACTTAAGCAAGCGTGGCTTGCCGGCCGGGTGCTCCCAGCGGCCTATGCTACCCTCTGCACGTCGCTTGCCGTCTCTGAACGGGCAGTCAGCCCACTTACCGGTTTCTTCGAAAGGGCAGCGAGACAATTGATTGGCTCATGGAAATTTGGACATGTGTTGACCAATCCCTTGTTGGTGCTGCTGATGGGGTTATCGTCCCCTAGTGACGCGTGTGCAATCGCCAGAACCCGGCTGGTGGTCCAGCTAGTTACACGCGCCCCGCCACGAGTGGGTGAGCTTTTTGCGGCAGCCTGGGATAGGGCCACGCCATGGTGTACCCTTCTTGTTGACGCGTGCCAACAAGTCGCATCTGGGCTGGTCGGCCATCTATCCCCGACGCATGTCACTCGCCAGTACATCGCCCAGCATGCCGTCAAACTCCAGAGCGTATGTAGGCACCTCAGCCGGTATGGTTCAGCGTATCGAGCGCTTCATGCACTGTGGCGGGATGTCGTGGTTCCCAAGGTCGTTCAGGTTCTTGGTGTGCCGCTGCCCCGAGTTTGTGGACTTTGCGGCCTCAGCTTCCCCAGCCTGCATGCCCTTGCCGCGCATGTCCACCGCAAGCATTCCGTTGTCAATAGCTTGACTCGGTATACGAATGGGACAGTTTGCCTATGGTGTCATTGCGACCACCATTCGACCGACAGGTTAAAATATCACTTGAAGGTGACTCCAGCGTGCATGCACGGACTTCGCGTCACTGTGGGGCAAGCCTACGTCTATGGTACGGGGACGAAGCGATCGGGTGCCAGGGGCCACCGAGGCCTACCTGCTACGCGCCTCCCTGGACCTATTAATGCCACACCGGCTCAGAGAGCGGCTTCCCTAGCCGAGATCCCATGCACGGAAGATGACCTGCGTCAAGAGCGACAGGCGGTAGTGGGGACACATGAGCTCTATTCGTGGCCGGAGGATCCGGCACCACTTGCTGATGTTCTGCCAGCGGACACTACGGATGTCTCTGCTCGCGTGCCGGGTGCCCCAGCTCTATCACCGGTCGACAGTCAGCCGGAAGGGACTCTTCACTGGTTTGCCATTGAGGACAGCGACAATGTGTGTGGCGCACCCTCTGATTCCTTTTCTGGCGTTTCCTTGGGCCTCGAAGGCCGTCCAGACTGGTCAGTTCCCTCTCCGCTTTGGCGCGGCCTGCTCCATCGGAAGGTTGTCTGGCGACTCCCGGTGGCGTGGAACTGCTTCTGGGGCTTATGGGCCACATTACAACGGTCTGACCCCTGGTGCTGGCAGGCTAGACGAGGGTTCTTACCACTGCGCCAATGCCTGGACGCGGCCGAGGACCCCGTCAATCGTGAGCCCCCGAGACGCTTATGGCGGTTACTCGAAGCTACGGTAACATTCAGAATGTTGTGTCAGCATGTCAACAGAGGAGCGGGAATCTTCTTCCCTCAAGCTCTCTCGTCTCAAGGGATTCGTCTATGGAGAGAACTGATGCCTGCAGCCAAGTTTCACCAAGTGAACACTTGTACGGGCAGTTTCTTCTGCGCCATCCACGAATCCTTGTATAGTAAGGCTCTGCACTGTTTGAGCGCCGGTTTGGATTCTCGCAATCCCACTGTTGAGCTCACGTTCAGGCCTTCAGCGATCTATAGATCGCCATCCGCCCTGCTTTGAGGTCGCAGCTTGGTCTCCTCGCTCCCTCGTTTCTTTGTTTGAGTTTTATTGAGTCTTTTGCCCTGTGTAGCTACAGCAGCTGCATTTTTGGGGAGTTGCATGCCTGCGTTCTGGACTTCGGACCCGTTTACGTGCGTGAGTGAGTGAGAGTTTAGGGTTTAGTTTGGAGTTTTGGCAACCCACTATTTTCAGTGGTGTTTTTATGTTTCGAATGGTTGTGCGTGGGTTTCGGTGTCAGTTGGTCGCTCGTTTGGTGCGCATGAGTGTGCACATGCGTGCATGTTTTTGTTTCAGCTACAACATCACATCTGAGTTGTTTCAAAGCCTGCGGTCTGTTTATAAACACAGGGCTTTTTTACAAACACTGCGTTTCGGTATATCGCGCTTTCAGCGTTTTGCGTTTGATGGATTTTCTCGTTTTCCTTTATGTCTACTATATGACAGATGATTAACTTTTGTCTTCTTGTCTTATACGTGCTGCTGGTTGTCTGCTTGTTCGTATTCATTACAATGTGTCGTGATGTCGCAGGGAAGGGGTGGAGGGGGGAGGGTGCAGGAGTCTTGGCTTGATGACGCGAGACCCTCCAAGACCTTGTTTGACTGAGAAAACTATGGAATCACTGGTATTCACGGTTTTTCTGCATATGGGAACACAATGTTATGTGGTCGATTGTTGATAAACACCTGGCCTTGTTGATAAACAGAAAATTGTTGATAAGCACAGGGGTTACTTCATGTTACTTCTGTGGAATATGGTGCGTATGTGCGTATGCCTGTCTTCCCGTGTAAACACACGTGTTGTTGCCACATAACTAGAGGTCCAATCTTTGTCACTTATTTAGCTTTAATATAGGACCAGAGGGATATGAAGGGATTGATTGTATATCCAACCAACAGTTTTTCGATACAGATACTTGAGGACATGGAGGCCATGCAAGATCATGCAAAGACTCGTGGAGCTTTATTAATCATTCACCGTGCGAGGCTACTGCTTTCGATTCAACCGAACCGAACATTGCATGCCAAAGGAGATGATGCGCTGAGTTCTGGTGTTGCATGGATTGGCTTGATAGGATGAATAGTCTTGCAGGGATAAGATGGACGGCTCTGTGAAGGGTCCCGTGTATGTGGCCTACCCCAAGACTTGGTTTGATAAAGTACAGAAAACAAGGCATTTACGGTGTTTCCTGCCTGTGATAGTTTTCGCAGGAAGAGCTTTGAATACTCAGCCGCTCAATACTGCGGTGTCGTACCTGCTGACGTCCGACTATACACAGGCAAAACCTGACCGTGAATACATTACTCAGGAATAGAAGTGTACGGTACTTTGTGCTATGATGCTACGTGTGCCTGGTTTTGAAGTTGTTAACCTGTAAATGTGATACAAAAAGTGGGTCTGCAAAAATCCAGGCCCCACAGCAACTTGCTATACATACATATATATATACTTACATAAAGACATAAAGACATGCATACATACATACATACATACATACATACATACATATTTTTCATACGTACGTACACACATACATACACACATACACATACCGACATCATACCTATAAAGAAACATATGCTTACGGTACTAATGATCCACCTGCCCAAAGTGTTAGATATACATTTCATGACAGTGGTCGGGTAGAGGAAGCACATGTCAGCTACAGCGAATGACCGACCACATGAACCCGAGCTGACATGTGAGCGGATTGAAGCCGAAAGAGAACAAACTGAGCAAGCCAAAATCAGCATCAAAGTATATCAATTTCAGAAAATCAAAAAGACAAATGCAAAAAGAAACGCACTAGAATTACGCCTATGAATCACTTTCGGGCAATCCCGAAACAACAGCAAAGCAAAAACAATCTAAAAAGCCAACAAAAACATAGCCTTTGTTTTGGCAGGTCGCTGACATCGGCCTGATGTGATTGACATTGTGGGATTTTGCTTAGTTCGATGTTGCTGTTTTGAGCTTCGCTGCTTCTTGTGGCCTTGCAGCCTCGTGCGACTCACGAGAGTTTCACGCAGGCAAATTTCTGTTGAAGTATCATGCTGCTGATGACTAAGGCTAAGGTTTGGGGAAGGTACAGCACCGACAGTTCCAAATTCCGAACCTTCTACAGCGGATTTCTGCCCATCTTATGCTCCCTTCTAAAACCTTTCAACACAGAGTTTGCCGCACTGCCGGTGGTTCGAACCACAACATCTGGGGTTGTAGCTTATCAACCTGTAGCAGAACGGCACATGTCGAAGTTTCAATGAAGGTGCGTACCTCGGGGGCATGGCAAGCCGTCCGAAGCCTGAGCCCGGGGTCAGAGAGTGGCGAGCCTTTATACTTCCAAAAAAATGGAAATGCAAACCTCTAAGCATCATGTGGCAGAGCAAACATCAACGAACAAACTAAACAGATCTTAACAGGCAAAAAGACATGGACAGACGAGGTATGGGTGCAGCAATCAAATCGGCATCCTTGTGCATAGAGTAGGGCTGCAGTCGGCGAAGACAGATTGCACGCTGCGCACCGTCTGCGCTCAAACATAGCATGTCCATCCCCATTAAACCGCAAGCGTCACCATGCCACATGGCTTTCATGAAACATCGGTGTTATGCCTTGGAGCCGTGCTGCCGTGTCAGTGCACAGCAAGTCTGTCGGACGGTCAAACTCCCACCCCTGCAACACACATGCACGGTCTCTCTGCCGTCCTTGTCATCTGCAAATGCGTGCGCGGATCGTCCCACGAACGTAGCAACATCTGTGCAGGTTGGAAACGTGATGGACCTCAGCTTCTAACTGCGTCAAAAACAAGCCTGCACGGTGCATTAGAAGCCGAGCCGACTGCGCGAAGCTGCACCCTCGCGCATGAGCAACAATGCCCTGGAAGGAAGGGTGTGTAGCAAACGAAACTAACTTTCCATGAGGTTGGGGCAGTCTCAATAATGATAATATTGCACAAAGCTTGCACTATGCGTGCCAGCCAGCTATTGCACGTGGCACCTAAAGACCCGAGTTTCTAACCACGCCATGAACACTTGAAGACAGGCGGAACTAGATCATCCCGTTCGCACCTTTGTCGCTCCTTGCCTCAATGCACGCAGGCGAAGGGAGAGTTTGGTGCGGCTTTTCGAAGGCTTTATCAATGGAGTATGCAGTTTCGCCTACCCTTTCCGGACGCTGGCGGCCGCGGTGACCCGACACCGCGTCACTCCAACTTTGCTTGCATCACGGCTGATGATCGGCTCTGTTGAAAGTAGCTTGCGAAGCTTCTCATCGAAATTACTTTCTGCTCGTAGTTCCTCCAAGGTTCGCAGTGTTACATGATCTTGCAATCGTTGCTGCAGCGCGTTCCCAAGACAAGACACCATCGACATCCCTCAGCCATTCCCGAAGTAGCATGCAGCCCAGGAACCCTCCAACGGTGTCATGTCGTTTTGGCTTAGACACTGCAGTCCATCACCGCTGTCCATTGGGGCTCTGGCTTCGAGAAGAAGCGCATCAGCTCTGCTTCTCCGACATCAACGGTTAAGCCGGACAGCACAACCTGCCCAAAAGCTGTCGATGCGCTTGGGCCACAGTCCAATAGCAGAGCCTTGCTGGAGAAGGCGTGCAGATCCAAGTTCAGCGGTGCAAGTTGCTTCCCATCGCCTTGAAAAGAGTTGGCACCGCTTCGACTTCGACGTCCTTCTCGGAACCGAGGAAAACACCGACCGGTCTCGGCAGGTGGAGTCTGCAGCAGGCCAGCACAGACCCGGCAGGTCTGTCGGTCTGAGCCAGCCTGAGACATCTTTGTGGCACTTGCACCCACCGCATGGATACGTGCGCACTCCGAGCGGACGACATAACGAGCTTTGCCTCAAGGGACCAAGGCTGAAAAATCCTTCGCTGCGAATGTCCAGTGCCTCTGGCAGATTGCCAATTTCCGACGCCTGGCGCAATCTAGTCTGCGAGACGAACCGGTTGAGCTCGCGAAGTTGAACCCCGGAAGCAACTTATACGTTTCGCAGAAATTCACATGATCCCAAATCGAGCAAGATCAAGAAAGCAGGCCTTCGGCAAGCAGAAAGTGACTCGATCGCCCGGCTGAAAACGCATTTGGCCGCAGTTGGACTGCAGAAGCAGCACCTGTCCCGCCACAGGAGCTTAAACATCATGAAAACAACTCCTCGGCAAATACAGCTGTGCAGGTCAACTCAACAGCTCATCATTTCACCGACAAAGACCTGCCTCGCCGGTGCCGCCCAAGTGGCGCGCAACTTCTGCGCATACAGCTGTCCCTGGCTTCCTTAGAGGCACTGCAAAGAGTTGAATGGGCGTTACTGCACTGCCTGCCACTGCTCCCACTGTCCCACAGCCATCCCTGGTACGAGAATCTTGGGTACTTGCCATGGGCTCTCCGGCGACTCGTTGATCCACCTGGCGGTTTGGCTGTTGCTTCCGGTCGCTCTTTGCTCTTCGGACAATGTAACCGTGTTCGACTATGGCATGTCGACATCTGGGCTCCTCACTCCGGAGCACGCACCACGGTTCCGCTGTACTTCTGCATGCGCCGCACCTGGTCCACACATTCACCCACATTCACATAACTGCTTGCAAGCTCTGACATCCTTCGTTCCCTTAGACTTGGCATTGCACTGGCCATACGAAGGCTTAACGCCGCCAGCAGAGCAACTAAGATTATGCCATCGGAGTTTAAGCAAATTTGGCACTGCTTGACGAGGGGCATCTGCATCCTTTGGAAAGTCAACTTCTCAGTTTCATACTTGGCACTATGATCCTTGACGTAGTCAGGCTGCCCTAAGCGTTGTCGTAGAATTTCAGTCTGACATTCGCCCTCGGTGGAGCAAGATGTGGTATGCAAAGAGTCGCGAAAACTTCGGGTGTCCGAAAAGGTACAGGCTGTCCGTACGAAACCTGATTTCCGACATGGGCCGACGTGGCCCAACAAACAAAGAGCAACCACCATCACCAAGTACACTCGCCCACAATCGAAAACGAAGCCCATCTAACTTCGCGCCTTCACGGCCTGGGGGAAGCCTTCCACACTGAGCTTCACCATGAACTGGACCAGATCCTGCTGTGCTCGCCCCATGGGCAGGCTCATCCACATGTCCAACCGACCAAGGCTCATAAGGTTCAATACAATCTTGGAGTGGAAACTATTGCTTGTCAGGACGGTACAACGAGGGCAAAGGCTCGGCTCCCTTTCAGTCCTCTTCTGCAAGTCTTGGCAGAACAGAAGACTTCTCCTGCAGGACACATAATCGGACATAAGGGATTGCGGGATTGCTGCCGCTGCGCACGTGAGCAAAATGGGTAGCAACAAGGCTGTCATGCACAGCTGCAACTACAACGCTACCACAACCACTACTGTTATCTGCTATGTATAAGCATTGAGGGCTGAACTAGCGGCTAGCGGACTCTGCCCCTTGCAGGCGATACAGTCAGAGAAGACTACTCCCAGTTTGGGTATATGGCACCACCCGCCCCAATCTAATATACACAATATGAAAAGATCCTATTCTACACTCTAGAATACTCCTATCCACCTAGGTGCCATATGCCTACACTGGGAATGGTCTTCTCGTATAATTTGGTTCAGGGTTTAGGGTTAAGGGTTGTAACTCTAATGTGATTATAAAATATAACTGCTTATGTCTTACAATTAGACTATAACATTATTGTATCAGAAGAATTCGCTTGTTTATTTCGGTTTGTCATCTACAGGTATCTCAATGATTACTCTATCCTTGTGCTTTCCGATTATCATAAAGTAGCTCTCCCAAAACAGGTAATTCATGAACAACTATCACACATGATCAAAAACTTCATCAACTTCAGACTTCTTATCCACAATCTTGGCTCTCTCCTTTCTCTTCTCGCGGCATTCAATGCAATTGCGCCAATGTTGCCCCAATCTATTGAACCCGAACTCTTCTGCAGGTTTCTTGCCGTGGCATCTTGTGCATTTGATTGCCTCCATCCTCCTAATATTAATAACACTATCCCTTCGGACTGCTTTTATCCAAGCATTCAGAACAAGTCGCAATTTATCTAACATAACAATAAGAATGCTTACCAGTGTAATAGCATTGCTTGAAACAATCAATGTCATTGTCTTGTTTTCTTCGATTGCACTTACTAGTAACAACATGACCTGCTTCAGTATATGGATCGAAATCAACTGATGTCTTATTTACTCTTATTGTCATTATATGAATAATTTACATATTTTCATAATGCGAGTTTATGATATAGTGAAATCCAAATAAGTATGTTTAGTCGCTATCGTTGTTCATCATCTTCTTCAGCTTAGTGATTTCACCTTTCAAGGACGTTATTTCTTTTTGCATGTCTTGCACAACGCCCCACAAGATAACAGCCACTTTGTTGTATGCTAGCAGTTTCATACCGTCGTAAATATAATATATTCTGTTATCCCATTCAGGGGCAGTTTAGCATTCTTCACACTGTCGGCAAAAATCCTAGATTGCTCTTTTCATTTTCATCTCTAACAAAAGTAAATGCTTTCGGTTCCATGTACTGAACTACACTATAACAACTATCATCGTCGACTATCAAACACAACGGTACCGATGAGCACTCTGACAATTAGTGGCCGTGAGAGGGGCGTGAACCCCGTGCATGTTGCGCGTGCCGGGCGAGTGGGTGAGATGACCTCGCGAAGATGCGGGACAGAGTGCCGCGACGAAACGAAGCGCGACAGCGAGTAGGAAGTGGTGAACACGGGATACAAGATGATGGCATGAAGCTGACAAGAAAGAAAGCTCTAAGATCTTGTTTAAGGATAAGCCGCCTGGATTCATATTGGAGGCAGCAGTGCGCTAGCGCATGGCAGCGCAAGGTGAGGAAAACAGCCACCAGCTACCAAAACATGCAAGCATGCAAGCAGCCATCTTCAAGAAACTTCACAGATAAGAACGAAAACTGCTCAAGTTCCGCAGGATACTGCACACCCTGCTTTGCCTGTGCCGGCATGTGTCGCGGCCCTGCCTTCTCGGAAGTTGCCATGCTCTCGGCTAACTTGTCAACCGCCTTAGCAGACGTGTGGTGGTTTCCCAAATAGTCTGATACTATGCGGTTCTTGATGTCAAGTCACGCCCTTTCTGCAATCCAGCTCATGGCACCGGCGAGGCTACGTATAACCCAAACATACCAAACAAGGCGACATTTGCCTCAACTTGCCCTTGACGGCCAGTGGCTGTCGTGTTGCATAAGGCCTCAGTGACCTCAGGAGGCTCAGAGCTCCTGAGCTCCTCCCATCCCGCAAAACGAAGTTGCAGAAGGCGATGAGCTCATCTCGGCCAGAAGAAGCCACGAAGCAGAAGCAGGCAGGAAAGAACGGCAAAACAAAAAGGCAACAACAATTATAACTTGCGGCGTTGCAATGATTGGAACTGTGGAGATGCAGTTGCTTGTGGCCGGAGGTCTATTTGCTTCGTGCAAGAGCGGGAGCAGGAGAGGCGGAGGAGGAGGCGGAGGAGAAGCATAAGAGGAGGAACAAAACAAGCAGGAGGAGGAACACACAGAAAAAAGAGTGAACGAGCTAGCATCACACAGTTCAACACCATACCCCGGCATCAATCTAGGACAGGCCACACTGTGACGGCAGCAAAGCATGCAAGACTTAATGTCGAAGGCCGATCCGAGTCTTGCATGGAAGCGGAAGAAAGCATGGGCCGCGCCCGTTTGCACGGCACCGTGGCGGCAGCAGGACTGCGGCAACGCTCTGACGAGCGCTGGGCTATGCAGACAATTACATTGCGACACACAGTGAAAACGGTAAGATTTGGAGAGCCGACCAGGGTGCCGTTGCTTGGATTGTAGCGAGATCGAAAAATTTGCAGACCTTTAGGCTGGTTACGAGCGAGCTGAAAACTGTGCACGTGCTTCTCGTGTCAGGGCTCTCAGCTGGCCTCGTGCTCCCGACTGTTTGGCCACCCTAGTCACACGATCTTGTAGCTTCTCCGGAAAACACGTAACCTTATGGAGTGCCCGCACCGGGACATGTTCGTGATCGTCTTGTCTCTGTCAGGTCGAGGTTGTCATCGTCTACGGCTGGTGGCCCCCGGCTGCCTCACCACCATCGGCCCTGTGGTTCCTTCAGCTTGCAGGGCGAAATCACGCCGGATGCGGAATTAATCTAGATGTTCTGTATTTTGTTCCGGCATTTTTTGTTTTCCTGATTTTCAAGCAAACTCTCGGTGTTCCAGGATTCCAAGCCGTCTGACGTGGCAACTTTTTATTGAATGTAGATTTGCAGGCCTCTCTGCTCATACAAGCTTTTTGCCCTTTGCAATTTGCACAAAATAGCTCGCTTCTTGCCAGGCCATCCGGAGCGCGCCGGGTCACTTCTCATTTCGTTTCTGGGTATTCTGGTTCGTGAAAAATCTAAAAAAACATCCCCCCTCTTTTGCGATTCGGATTCATGTATCATATACGCGCCACTTCTATGGCGATTCCAGTTCATCCTGTATCCTAAACACGCCGCCTCATTTGGCGACTCTGGTTCATCATATATCTGACACAAGCCCCTCAATTGGCGATTCCTGCTTTTCATATATATATATATATATATCTATATATATCTATATATATCTATATATACATATACACAAAGCGTCGCACTGCAGGCCCGAGTCTTGGAGCTTTCCCTTTTCCATATTGTAAGGTAGTGATTGAAAGCTCCTGTGGGAATAATAACGGGCCTGGATAGTGTCTGCAACATTAGATAGCCTAAACCAAAGAGCCAAAAGGCCTGGAGTCCGTGGCCCTGGCCTTGGCCCTGCCCCGGGGGGGGGTAACGAAACAAAAAAAACCTAAAAAAATCATGTTTTTAGGGTTTTCCCCCCCCCCCTCCCCAGTCCAGGGACCTCAAAGTGCAGCCCTGCTGAGGCTCCAGAAATACATATATATATATATATATATTATGATGATGTATACATCACGCCCCCTCAATTGGCGATTCCGGTTCATCCTGTGGTCCTATATCTTAAACACCCCCTCTTTCGGCGATGCCGGTTCATCATCTATCTTAAACACGCCACTTCGTTTGGCAATAACGTGACAAAACACGAACAACTAACACAAAAGACACAGAAACCAATTTGCAATTCCGATTCATCACATATCTTAAACACACCTCCTCATTTAGATTGCGGTGCATGCTACATGCTACACACGCCCCCTCGTTGCCGATTTCGGTTCAACATTACACACCCCCTCGCTTGGCGACTTGAAAATAGCAATAGCACGAACAACTAGCACGTCTACAGCGGCGTTGCTTCGAGCTCGCAGACGGCCATGCACATGTGCCATAAACCTTTACATGGAGGGATCGCTGTGGCTTCCCCCGCCTCGTCACTGCCACCCACCCCTCCTACCACGGCGCCTCCCCTGCCCGTGACAACTCGGAGATATGAGGTCTGCATGACAAATGCACCGCATATACACTACATACTGAGATGTGCACCATGTATGTATAAATTGTTACATACTGCAAAAATACACCATATACAGCTTGGCACAATTTTGATAGGAACACAGAGACATAGATGGTGAGGTCGCAATGGTCAGCCCCGTGGCATATGTATGTATGTATGCATGTATGTATGTCTGTAGGTAGGTATGTATGTAGGTATGCCGGTGTATATCCAGTATGTACACTGCCTACTGCATTCATAAACCTAATAAAGCCTCAAAGAATTCATATGTGATACGCAAGACATGCATAAAGGCATTGCAAAGCCAAGAAGCCAGGAAGCCGAAAAGTCAGGAATCCAAGAAGCTGGAAAGCCAAGAAGGAAAGCCCAGAAACGCACAAGTTAGAAAGTTACTAAAATGCGATTCCCGAAAGCTTGGAAGTGTATGTAAACAACCACGCGGCCAGGAAGTCGAGAAGCCAGGAAGCTAGCAATCCGAGAAGCCACGAAACCGGAAAGCCAAGGTGAAGAAACCAGGAAACCAAGGCAAGATGAAGAAGCCAGGAAGCCAAATAGTTTCAACACCGAGAAGGAAAATTTGGAAGCCAAGAAGACAGCAACCCAGAAAGGAAAGCCCAGAAGCCAAAACAAAAACAAACCAGCAAGGAAAGCCCAGAAGCCCAGAAGCCAAAAGCCAAGAACAAACAAAATACCCAGACAGAAACACAAAATACCTAAAAAGTTGGATTCCAATCACGCTTGGTAGCACACTGTCTTCTTTAATTGGGTGATGTGGTTCATCTGGGTGCACAGGTGAGGACTGACACCTGGAGGGTGGATATCGCAAGGCATGTGCCAAAACATCCACTTGAATGATCGCAAGGGCTGGTCTCGTACATATATTAATATGTACTTATTTATTTATCTATTTACGTATTTACATATATCTACATATATACACACACACATCGGAGAAGACTCGCTCATGTAATCCACTCACTAGAAGTTCACTCATGTAATCCACTCACTCCAAGCTGTAACGGTGATCGTCAGGGATTTGGTTTGGGAGTCCGATCGATTTCACCGATCGGATGCATGGCTTTCCTGCTGGCTCCACATTGCGAACCGTTCAACCAGAGACATTCAGTAAACTCGCCGGACCCTGGAAGAAACACTTCCTGTACGCAACTCCGGAACCTTCAGGATTCGGGCCTCGGGACGGGGTGGCACAAAAAACCCAAGGCCACTTTGAATCAAATCATCTGAACTAATGGCAGAATGACGATTTATAGATGCCAAGACGATCGTGCAAGGCCAGCCAAGCACAAGTGCTGCGCCAACGAAATGCTAGCCAAAACTCCTACTAGGCGCAGGGGTTCCCTTTTGGTCGTAAGCGCAGACGCAACGCCCGGTGGGACGGGTGTCGGCCGTTTCGTCTCACGACGTATTGTAGACCAAAAGGGTGGTGAGGGTGGGAAGACGAAAACTTAGGCGATCGAGCGGAGACGCTTGCCGGTCGATCATTGGCACGGGTTCTACACACACACACAGACACACAGACACACACACACACACACGCACGTGCGTTACACAACAAGTGCTATGCTAATGCTGATAGGTTAACCCAAACTCTTACTACAGGTGCACTGGCTCCTTCTTGGTCATAGCGCATACTGCCCCTGGCCACACACCGCCCCTGAAACCGGTGCCGGAGCCTTGGTGCGCACTTCTGCGCCCGCCCCGGCACACCCACCGCCCACAAGGCGCCGGCACTCTCACCAAAAAGTAAGATGAATCTAAACTCGCTCAGGCGACCCGTGGCAAGCAAAATTGACGTCGCCCGCCGCTCTAGCAAGAATCAGCATGACCTCGTCGACGGGTGCATGTACACGGCGCCATCCTTCCCGCCAGGTGCGGGAGTCGTCGCCTCTCTTAATTCACCGCGTCCGAGACGCCGGCCTCGGACGGGAGTTGGAAAAACTCAGAGCACCATGCCCTGTCCGAAGCGAGGGCCCGGAAGACGGCGAGCATGCCATTCACCGCCGAACCCTTACCATATTTCTTATGATGACGAACTGGCCTGCGATATTGCCGATGAACTTGTAACTTGCAAAGATGCTCCCCAAAGGCACACGCTAAAGGACGACGATGAGGGTCAGCCAGTGTGGCGGGAGCCGCCGGGCGAAGGTAACCAGCGGAAGGATCTGGGCGAGGATAACGTAAGAGATGAAAGCCCGCCGAAATGCAAACAGCTCATAAACAGCTCCAAATGCTCGGGCTTGACAAAACGCAAGCAGGTGCGGACAACGAACTTCGGCTGCCCCTGGACCCACAGACAGGCCGTCCTCGGTGTCCGCCGGAAGTATTTGGCAGCCCCACGCCTTCGTCGAAGACCCGAACCCTGACTCCCTGGACGGCATGGTCTTGGACCGGAGCTTGGGCTTTGGAAGGTTGGCTGGACCCCCAGGAGCCTTAAAAGTTTAGGGCCCGAAGAACCATGTGCACGGCGTCGGCCACTTTGTTGGAGTTGCAACACATGGCGAAGTGGAAAGCGAAAGAATGGTCCCAGTATCCGACGGCAAGAAGGCGTCGCAATGGCCGGCCCCCTAACAGGGGTGGGGTCGCACGGGGTGGGTCGGAAACGAGGCGGGTCCATTTCCGGAGATGCTCATGTGTGGGTTGAACCAGTCTTCACAAGGATCAGTACTTCTAGCGAGTCTTGTATTGAGTGTAGTGACGCTTGTCCACTTCATTTTATCGTGTGGCATCTGCATAAACGAGCAAAAAGTGGCAGGGAAAATCTGCTTGAAATAGGCCCCATGGGTGGGCGGTCGGTGTGCGGTGTGGCGTCTGTGAGAGGAAGTATAGTTCCACACAGGATCTGCTCGCGTGGTTCCTGCATAGAAGACGCCAACAGTGGCAGGGGAAAGGCTGCCCGAAATAGGCTGGGGCGGTGTGGCTTTGCTGAGCTCGGCGTAAGCCGATTTAGCGGGTCAGGCTAAGGCGAGGTCGTGGCTGAGGCGACAATGTTGCAGGCTCCGCCGCCCAAGCGAGGCCAGCCGCCTCGAAGAAGTGGCCCGCCAAGTTGGCGGTGGCGGCAGAGTCCTTTGGCGTGGCGCGGGGCGAAGCCATGACCAGACGACGGGAAGCGAAAGGAGCAGGGCAGGGGCAAGACGAGAATTGAGGCGATCGGGCCGAGACGCGGTCAGGTCGATCGCTGGCACTTGCTCCTACACGCAAACGTGCGTTACACCTATTATGGACATGGCTATATCTACATATGTACATGTGTATGTATAATGTGTTCATGTGGAATCCATTGCTGGAGCTCCGCGAGTATGAGCTGGTACAACAATAACGGATAGCGACCCTACTTCGCCGAGAGTCTCAACTAGAGCAACTAGCGCAGGCAGGTGCTCAAATAGAGAGCAGCCAGGCGCTCTGGAAACGATATTGTCCGTACTTTTTTGCTTAATCACCAGGCGAAGACAAGCTGTTAGGACCACCAAAACCGCGAAAAGCTTCGATCTTCAACCATCAGGCCAGAATGAGGAAGACTTCAGTCGGTAAGATTGCTGGCACACGTGCACACCAGCCACCAAAACCGAGGGCGCTGCAGACTGTGGATCTTGTCCAGGTTCTAGCCATATATCGGCTGCAGCCATCTGCGCCTGTCCGGAAACACTAAATTCCAAGGGGTCAAGACATACACAGCGGCTTGTTCGGTAGCATGCGAAACCGAAAGGACGCGATGGTCTCTGAATGCGACATTCCGGTCCAAGCGGACTCTGCTAAGCTCCAATAAACGCTTCATTTGCACTCCTGCTCTCTTCAGGGAGCGCCCCCTGTGTAGCACAGCAAGACTGAAGCCTGGCTGGAGCTCTGAGTATTAGCATCAGGCTAGCAGCTGCGGTGAAGAGACTGTGTGATCGCCACTGCTACTTACTGCTAGGCTGCTAGGTGAAACGGTATTGAGGCGTTGTCGTCCTCATTGAAATTCAAAGGACGAACTTTGCCGGGACAGGTCGTCCTCACCTTGTATGGCATGAGGCAGATGCACAAAAAACAAAATGATTTGCCATGGTCAAGGTCATAAAGATTCATACAGACATGCGCCGCATGAAGCTGTGCAGGCCTAAGTCCCTGAATCATCTGTGTGCAAGCGAGGCAAGTACATATGTCGAGAACAAGCTTGAGTCACATCCCCTAACTTGGAGATTGCATCTAAGTTGCTATCTGGTTCGGGCAGAGCAATGGCGGCCTCTGTCGGCGGTGCATGGCATGGACAAACGATAGGAAATTCCTGCGACGGAGACCTGTGTCTGCGTGGTTGGCCGAGCACGCTTGACCGGAAAGCCACCTTCCAGAGCTGTCAGCCAAGACTTCACCTTCAGGGTAGGTACGTGGGCGTACCCCTAAGCAAGATCGACATGAGAATCAATTTGCAAGGTTATCCCAGCGAGGAAAGGCTGCCGCTGATCTTCACAGCGTTGCAACGTTGCCAATGTCTTGCAACGTTGTTAGTGCGCCTCAGCCTGCGACGTGTGTCGGATGTAGAGATCGAACTCGCCAAAGTGCCTTGTTGCAGGAAATTCTCTGCACCCTGTTCGGAAGTGAACTCTTGGCACATTGAATCGAAGGAAGGACCATGATAACATGTCCCGTCTGAGACATCGGTTGAGGCCGTATGAGCCCGTGCTGAATGACGTCACGGCCACTCGGTTGCCAGCGGCCATGCGCACAGCCGCTCCAACAGAGTGACGAGGATTTCGCGAAGATCAACGACAGTCCGTGTGCCTCCGGCTAGAGTGCTATTTAATGGATGGCTGTTCTACACAGCACAGACAACTCATCACGCGCCCTAAGCTTACACTTCCCCTTGCAAGACCGAGGGCTCATTTGTCAAATGTCTGGCATGTCAACGGGACACAGGTTCCAAGCTAAAGCACAAGGACGGAGCAAGTTCAAAAGAGAAGTTGCGGCTCCAGCTTACGAAGGAAGAGACACAGCCATGCGCACAGACAACCGTCGTGATGCTTCCGCGGGCTGCTGAGAATCAAGGATCGCGAGCACTGGAAAAGCTTCTACAAGGCCAGGGGCAGCCAACAGGAAGGTAGAGACTGAAACCTTTGTGGCATTACATGCATTACTGATGTTGACCGCGGAGAAGTTGCAACCTGAAATATGTTTGTTGCACTAGGCTACTTGCGCCACGTCAGTCCTACGTTTGAAGCAGAACGTCACTGGATCTCATCTTCATGAGTGACCACCGCTCCTATTCGTTTAGTTTAGATGTTACCGCCAGTCAGATGCCTAACCATTAGAGCAAAGAATACAGGCCAGGAAAGGTCCGATGGCAAGTCGGTTTGACTGTAGCCAGCAGACAGTGACAGCTGAGAACACAATCTCGAAAGCTCAATTATACGTGACCACTGTCACTTGCAGTTACTGGCGAATTGCCAGTCAAACAGTCAAACTTCATTAGGTTCAACAACTTCTCTAGCTTTCCGCCTCCTTGAACAGCCCTAAGCCTTCCTGTAAAGATGCAATCTCAATGACAGTGCAAGCCTGCTTGTTCATTACGCGCGTGTGGCAGCACTCGCCTCGATGACTCGACTCGACGCAGGGCAGTCTCGGACCGTCTCTCAAGTGAAGGAGACATGAAGATGTGCTGTCTTGCATGCGCAGTCAGGTGCTGCTGAGAGGCAACGCTATGAACACGGCAATGGCAGAGTGCCACTCACAGTCCTGACGAAACATCTTGAGATAGGTATGTATCGATGGACCCAATGTTGCATCGCGCCATCTTGAAGGCAAGCTGGAACATGCAAACATGAGGAGAACACTGCAAAGAGAGTGTTGCCACATTCGTGCTGCCGTCTTTGTAAACTGTTGCAGAAACCTCGCGCAGATGTTAACTCCCAAGAAAATGACATCTACCGATGCATACAGCGAAATGCAAAAGAAAACCTGTTACTCAATTGGTTGCAAAGTGAGCCCCCGGTCCTTGAAAGGCAGCCATACCTTAGCACCAGAAAGGCTCAGTGGCAAACGCTGGAAAACTTGCTATGAAAGCAAATGGGCTGGCCAAGGCCGAGTGATCAGGTGGCAGTTGCCAACGGTCTCCAGCATCTCTGCAGTGCCTGACTCGTGAAGAGGCAACCAACGTGGGAAACGGTCATTCACCGGCCTTGAAGATGCTGTCTGCACCACGATAGCCACTGAAACATGATCTCTTCGCTGGAAGCCGTGATGTCGAACTGAAGATAATGAAAATAGCCTTCGACACGCAGCAGCTCTGTGCAACTGACGCAAACACAATCACTTCTCGGATAAGTAAGACGACATTCCTACCGCATGCAAAAACAAGGGGAGCAGAGCAGGTCACAGGCATACCAGCACAACAGAGAACACAGTGCCGTGCAGCCATGCTGCCAACAGTTGCAAACGCAGCATGACATCATCGGGTGCACTACACCATGGCATCGCGACAAAAGGCTTAATGTATCAAGACATTCACACGACAAGAATTTGAATTTTCCATGCATGGAAATGCGAGGAATGGCAGTGAGTAGGATGACTAGTCGAACATAGAGTAGCTAAGAGGTCGCATATGCAACTTCAAGTGGCATTTTAAAGTTCACCCTCAGGCAGTAGCACTGTGAAGGGAGTCACTCTCGCGGGCGGCTTGCAGGAGCCGGGCTCGGCTTGGGAACGTGACTCTCCTGGAAACAATATTGATCCGGTTGATAATGGAGATCGTGATTTGCCTGGTTGAAGCTGAGGAGTCTATTTGGCTCGGGACTCATGTGAAACAGTCGTCAACGCTACAGCAGAGCTATCCCGAGCGCCTGAACCCGCTCAGGTCAGCGGGGGGTTGACGTCGCGGAAATCGTTACGGGCGATGAATCTTGAGAGCAGGGAAATTGGGACACACACGCGCCAATGTAGACTATGAACCTCACGAGAGCCCCTTCAATCCAATCTCACCTCCACAAGCCCTTTGCACCGCTGGGTCGGGGCTACGGCTTAGACGCGCGCACACACACACACACGCACACACACCCGGACAATCTCAGGCACGAAGCGCTCGAAGAACTTCGAGACAGAAAAGATTTGTTTCCAATCCGCTTGGCTGTGCTGAATTTTTGCGAAGATCCTGCCAGGCGCTGCGACAAGAGCTTTATTTGATCTTCTGTATCATCTTGGCAAGGGTGCTTGGTGTGCTCTCACGCGGCAGAGTGCGATGGCCTGCAACACTATGAACATGCCATGTGATCTTGGCAAATCGGCATGACCGGCTCCTGTTCCCTCTCCGAAACTCCTGCGAAGACTCTTCAACAGTTGCATCTAAACTCTAAGCGCTCCCACCGGGCAGCTGCCACTACGGCCATGTGAAGCAATTGATTAACTGGTTCGCATGCGTTGTGCAGCGCTGCAGGCGTGCGGAAAGGTTGATCGTAGAATCTGGACTCTAGACAGTACGGTGACACTGAAGCCTCCAACACGGTTGGCAGACAGGCGCCAATACCCACACGACACACCCCTTCACAAATCACTCTGGAAGAAGTGAGTGCGGTCCTTCTGCAGCTGCAGAGCAGCAGATGCTGTCAAGTTCGGGTTGGCGCATAATTTTCTGCCAACAGGAAGCAGGACCTCTCAGGCCAGAAATTTCGCTTGAATAAGCAAGGGGGTGACGAGCACATCGTGCAAACATCGTGCACACAGAGCTCGCCTTGAAACACTTCTACTGTATCTTGGGTCTCCCCACGGAGCCCTGCACCAAGACCTCGTGCATCCTCACGCACTACATGTGTCTTGAAGACTTGGCGCACCTTCAGCCCCGCGCTGTTGCGTTGGACCTGCTGTCCCAGTTCACTCATGGCTGCAGTGTACAAACTCACCACGGATGGGCTGAGGGGAGGGAAAGAAGCCTGTCGATGAGCCCGGCCGTTGAGGGCAACAGGAACTCGACAGTCCCATCCTTAGCTCTGGACTTCCAGGTTCAACCCGAACACGGAAGCCCCAGTAATCGTGCGCCCCGGTCTGTTCCGAGACGCTGCTCATGATGTCGAAGAAAGCTCCAAGAAGTTGTTCAAGATCTTGGTGCCTGGGCAAACGGGCAAACTGCGTAGTCGTGAGAAGCTGAACTCTTGCCAAGTTGCTGTTCAATTTGGCAAACCAGGGCGCAGCAAATCGCCCAGCCCGCTCCGCCTAGATAACCGAAATCATGCCTGCAGGCCAGGGCTGGAAAAATGATCACGAACATCGTTTTACGTGACTACTCATACTGTTACAAACTAGTTACTTACTTACAAAGACACGAACGGACATGAACATACATAAGCATTTTCCGAGCGACGACTGCCCATAGACTCCACGTTGCTTCGCCCAGAAGCGAACACACCTGCATCAGTAAACAGCCTTTTTTCCATCCGAAGAACTGATGCATGCGGCGATGCACTGGTCGCACAGCATACAACCTCTCACGATCATAAAACGCAGCTGTACAGATCAAGGCACGTCAACAACTGTTGAAAAGCTCTCTTGTCAGGGACCTGAGCTGCAAAGCTGGCATCCGGCCACGATGGAAGATTCTGCGACAGGACCCACGAGAGGTATCAGTGCATAGAAGATGCTGACTCTAAGATGGCAAGCGCCGTTTGTCTGGCAACATAACCGGACCTCGGAAACATTGTCACTGGGCTTCTCAAACGCTTTGCCACAGTCCGTCCTTCTAAGAGCGAGAGGGTTTTCTGCAACGTTCACACAAACGACTAAGATGACTAAGCTTCCTAACGGTCCTGCCATGCAGGATGGCTAGTATGGCAACGTGAAGCCTCTGACACGACATGATGATATCTTGTGCTCTGTAAAAACTATTTTTGTTCCTCTCGACACAAAACTCAATACACAGCTGGCTGCAAACCTGTATGCGAAAGGGCATGCATTCTCGGACATGTCTTTGTTGGCGACAAGTGCTCAACCTGTGCATTAACATGTTTTCTCCAGTTCGACCCACCCCGACACACCTTTGCACGGATTGTTTTGTTTACTCAGCACCCTGTGAAGTCCTTTTTACACCGTCCCGGAGCATTGATTTTCCGGTTTGCCCGGTCCTTCCGCGGTGCTTTCCTCGTTCGCCCGAATGGCGTGCACTACTAATTTCCCCTGGTTTGAAAATTTGACAGTGTTCGGTTTGCTTCACATGTTCGTTTTGCTCATTGCTTCCCATGTTTTTCCTGTTAGCATATGTGCTGCCCGAGGTTCCGATGCTAAAAGTTCACCGCGGAGCACGCTTCCACAGTGGCAACTCCGCGATGCCGCGAATCCATCGCACTATCATTGTTTTCTCCGCATGCAAGAAGTTTGCAAACGCTCAAAACCGCTCCTCATACATGCATGCATGCATGCATGTAAAAAGGAGGGTGCACTTATGCATGCTTGCATACATGTATGCGTGCATGCATGTATGTCGTTGGGTTGCGTGAAGGTAAGCAGGCATGCAAGGTTGCAGTTCTCCTAGTAATCGTGTTGACCCTGGATCACGGCTGTTCGCTCCAGATCAAGAGAGCCTTCGTGGCACAGGCGCCAACGGCGTCAACGCACACCGGCTCGCACTACATTGCAGCGGAGACACAGCAAGCGTTGCAGACTCTTGCACTGCACCACTCGCACTCTACCCCAAGCTCTACAACCAACATGTCGAGCTGGAAGCGCAGTCAATGCAAACAATTCGTCAAAGAATCCCAGAAGTACTGCGGCTTCTGTGGTTTGCCCTGGTGGTCGGTGATGCATGGAATGTTGTGTATGAATGTACGTACGTACGCGTGTATGTTTTACCAAAGTAGGTACGCATGTGCGAACGTGCAAGTTTGTGCGTGCATGCATGCACGAATGCATGTGGATGCATGCGCATGTATACATGCATGTCGCCGTGGGCCCCCTGCACAGGGTGCGCACCCCCACCAGAAGGCACCTACCCCGACCTACGCCTCTCACCCCGCAAACCGTCACAGAGCTGGCGCTCGTCCGCCATGGTCTGCAGAACATCGGAGCCCATCAGCAACAAGGGATCAGAAGATCATCATGCTCTACCTGCAAGGTGTCGGCCCAAGGTTGGTAGTTTCCTTCTAGGTCCCTTTCTTCGGGCGGCCCCAAGCGCGGCGATCAAGGGCTTGGGGCTTCTGCACCCTTGAGAAACGCCCGCGGTGTACGGCTTTACTATTCATCAATCTGGATATGTCCACTGCTTTTCAAAAAGCCGGCCAACATCCTGATTGCAATATTCGTCCGTACCATTGGTGCTGTCGGGGAATGTGACTTCACATCAGCCGACTTCGTGATCACAGCCTCAACATCCGCATACAGGGCGGCAGGGCACGACCTGGAACTCCATGCATACACAGCCCAAAAGCCCAAGACGCAGACCGAGCCGGCCACGCTCACAGGGCCGGCAGCAGCAAGACAATGGCAAAGCGGCAGGCAAGGGCAAACACGGGGGTGCTCCCAGCTATGCAGTCACACATTGGGCGCCTCCAGCTACCCCCCCCCCCTGGGTTGCGGAGTCGTGCCCGACGCAGCTGACAAACAACTCCACAGATGTCGCGCCAACGGTCGACGAGAACCGAATGCAAGACATGCTGGGCGCACTAAGAAAGCATTCCTCCTGCAGTCGCAGAAGTTCTAGCAAGAGCAGAGGGCGATGCAAGCAAACACGTGACAAAATCCTTGCACCCACACACAGCAGGTCTTGGCCAAGCACGGCAGCAAGTCCAGCAGATCAAAGAAGCCCAGCTGCACATCGCCAAGCATGGCAAAATTTCATCATCCAAACAACGGCAGCGCTCGAGCAGGGCTTTGCCATGCACGAGGAACAGATGAAAGCACTGTCAAGGGCGGAGAAAGAGGCGCAAGAGAAGGCAAGCGTGGCGCGCAAGGCAATTCGACAACTCAGCTCCAATCCGGAAGACAAGGCGGAAACCATCGAAGATGGAGAGTCGGATGTGGAGTGCATAAATGGCGATCAAGCTACGCTCATCTTGGACGACAGCGAGGAGCAGACTTTGCAAGCGCAAAAGAAGTTGCGCACCACACTGGAGACTATTTGTGCAAAGATGCCTCAAGCGGACGACGGAACACCAAGACGACGACCCAAAGCGGAGTCGTCAGTCCCTCACTAGGCTGCAGTCCTTGCCGTTCCCGGACCTCGGTTAGTGCCTCTATAGGACCCACCGAGATGGACGAGCAGCCGCATCATCCTCTGACCATGTGCGAATACGCAGCTGATATGCTTTGCCCAGACAAACCTTCGGTGTTCAACCACTCAGTCTGCAGCGAGCCTGACTTCAAGAGCCCGAATGTTTCTCTGCTCCCAGGAGCCATATGGCAGTTCGGAGCCGCTCTGCGGAAATTGAGTGTGTGTTCACATTTTGACATGGTCAGACTCTTCCCACCAGAGTGCCGGCAAGAATGGACGGTGGTCGATCAACATAATTGCTCCTTCAGGAAAAAGCATGGTGAACCACAGTTGAATTGATACGATTCGCTTGCACAATGGACTTGGGACAGTCCGTGAGTGAGTCGAGTCCGGTAGACCTGCCTGCTTTGGATACCCAGTCCTTCCAGATGAGCCCTACGCAGTGTAAAGATGTACAGAAAAGCGCTTTCAAAAAGCGCAAATGCCCACCCACAATGCGCGTCTCCTTCACAACAGAACACTGGGCAAAGTCCCATAGGGGATCCTCGCTTGCAGACCCTGATGCCGCACCTAGATACCACCCCGAAGACCTTTTCATGGCACAGGACGGGGTTTTGAGGCATGACAACAGTGAAAGACATAAACATGACGATCCATGTCATGTTGTTGCCGAGGTTGCTTCGTTTCCTGCCACAGTAACGTTGGCCAGTCATGGTGATGTTGACAGTTGCGCACGCGTGGCAGCGTCGATGCCACCATATAGTGCAGCGATTTGCAAGCACTCGCAGGTCGAGTCGAATGTCGATGATGTCGGCTCCAAGCTGTCGCATGTGTATGCAGCGCATCACGATACCTTACGGCTTCATGTCTCACATCAAGCCGACGAATACTCAATCAGAGCTGCGGTTGGTGAGCTTACAGAGCGACAACCTTTCGAAACATGCCTGTATCCATTGCGTCCCCAGTTTGACCCACCTTTTTCTGAAGGGTATCAGTTGATTGACGTTTCTGGTTGCCCGCCCAACCAGGTATGCGTCGATGTCAGGTTTCGCGGCAACCGGCAGCCAATGACATTGCAGCTTGATGCGTGGTACACTTCACACGATCTGTGTCAACACATTGCTGCACCGGGTGCGACACCTTTGCACAATGACCGGTCTGGCTGTGTGATCACGTCCCCTTGTTTCACGGCATGGTTCTTGAGGCAGTTTTCAACTTGCAGCTTGAATCGCACGGAGGTTCAGCACAGACACTGCAGCTGACCCCTTACGTTGACCCAGTTTGGGGCCAGACTAGCAACACCAAGGCCTTGGCATCACGACTGACCTTTGATGCCGCCTGCTCAGCAGTCTGGCAACTGTCGCGAAATCTGCAGTTGGTACCAGAAGTGCCCTGGGTCGTGGAGCATGCTGTGCGTGCTTCTTGCAGCCTCCACAATTGTGTCGATTGGAAGCGTGGAACCATCCTAATATCTATGTTGATGGGTCTGCACAGCGACCCATGGCTCATCCACGGGCCGGAGCGGCTTTCTGTGCGTGGCAAGATGTCGGTGACGGGTGTGCGCTTCTTGGTTACCATGCTTTCGCTGTGCAAATTCACGATGAAGATGCGCAAGACGCAGCAGCAACTGCTGAGGCACGGGCGCTTTGTCATGCACTTCTCTATGTCTTTGCGAGTGCTGATAAGTTGCCATTTGTCATCCACTTTGACTCACAGAGGGTTGGGTATTCAGCTAACGGCAATTGGCGCATCACCTGTGGCTCGCCTGGGGTACGGAAGTGGTGTGAAGGAGCCCGTAGCCTTGTCTTGATCGTTGAGCGAATCAAGAACTTGAAAGTTAAGCATGTTGAAGCCCACAGTAAAAAATCCAGGACATGAAATGGCTGACGCAGTTGCGAAGGCGGCAGCCTGGAAGTGCGTTTGCCAGCGTTTGCCAAAGCCCTGCGAAAAGCTCATGAGCGGTGACATGTTACCATGGATGTGGATGATTGTGCCTGGGTTTGATGTTGGTCTCCCGCCGTTTGAGTCCATAGCCAGCGGATGTGTTCCTCCTCCTTCGCCTCCTACCGAATCTGAATGTGCGTATGGCATCGCGCAGGTTGCCAAGCCGGACACGAACGCTCACAGCAGGTTGCGAGCCGTAACACTTGCGGTCGCGACTTTCAACGTGCAGACTGCTCAAGATCCCTATGTCGTTGACCCTGACGATCGCCTCGTTGGGGGATCCAAGTTGCAGCTTACGCAAAAGATTTATGTCATCGGACTTCAAGAAACCCGACTTGGGGAGACTACTGTCCGAGATACCAGATACCCAACACTTCCTTACCGTCCAAGCTGCCAGAATGGAAAATGTTTTCATGATTTGCTGAGATGCAGACATTTGTGGCTACCATCAACGTTCCACCAATGTCAGATCGGTGAGACATACACCTTTATTGCACAGAGGGACGGAAGCAGGCACCGCAACGACTTCATTGCTATGCCG